TTGAGTATTGAAATGCTAACCCTTACAATGATTTTAGACCTTCTATTTATACTAATGGAGAGCATGGGCTGCTCTATGCTGATTGGCCGTTGTTCCACCGACTTAATCACCCATGTTTCCACTTGCTGATGTCACAATCTGGCATTAATTGCATCTGGCCACTTGCTGGTTGCCCGTTGCTCGAACGGGATGTTGGACCTTACAAATGACGATGTCAAATTGGCCCAAGTATGATATATGGTTCGAACTCCGTTCGGTATCTCTCCTTTCTGGGCCGGTCTTTACTCGGACCGAACCCCGTTCGGTATGGATTCTTCACTGGGCCTTCTCATCATAGGGTAATGGACTCATCGTTTGGGCCGGGTATCCTGGGCCTGTTTTATCCGGGTATTGGGCCTCTAGATCAATATCCCAACACTAGCATTTCTTTTCTTTAATTTATTATAATTATTATTCTTTTTTTTTAAACAAAGAAATTCATGCTTAGTATAAGGTAGAACAAGGAAATTTACATACCATGTTTGTATCTCCCCCCGCTTGGTCCAAGCACTGTCCCTAGTGCCCGCCTTCGCCACCATAGAAACTGCCACCAAAATCGCTACCGGTGCCGCCATCTCCCATTGTTGCATCGCCTCCATCCCCACCATCATATCCTCCACCACCGGAGCTCGAACTGCCAAAGCTACCCCAATGAGTGGGGTCATACCAAGAGGGTGGTGGTGGAGGAGTGGCCATAGTATGAAAAGAGCCTTGATGGGCTATGTAGGCGTACATAGGTCCATAAAACCTATGTTGATCCTCCTCATATCTCCGATTGTCGGCTTCCCGAAGCTCTTCAATCCGTTGAAAACCTGCTCTTTGCTCCTCCTTTACTTGGGTGAGCCGCTCTCCCATGGCCGTGTAGTTGAGGTTCATTTGGTTGAATCCCGCAAGTAGTTGTTGACCCTCCAAAAGTTGTTGGAAATAGTTGGGTGGTGGAGGGTCTTAGGGCTGCTCGGGGATGTCCGCGTCCATGTCCTCATGGTCATGGGGTTCGGCGTCAGGCTCGTCTTGAGGGTCTTGGAAATGGGGTGGAAGGGCATTGGGGAATAAGTAGTGGGGCACTTCATAGGTGGCCATTTTGTAACTCAATTTGGGGATGTCCGAATGGGGTATGGGAAAGTATGTAGAGGCTTGGGGTGTATGTGCCATTTGTAACGATTTTTTCCCTCAAAGTCGGTGTGGAAGAAAGATATACACCCCACATTACCTAACCATGTAATGTTCATCAAACAATATTCGGCTATAGGGTTATGATCCAAATAGCCAAATTTTGTTGCTAAATGCATGATAACCCCACCCATTACAATTACTCCCTTGGCTAAGCATTCCTTCTTCAAATGTGCCCAAATCAAGTTGCACATATTGAACTCCACGGGGTTGAAGAACAGAGCATTAGTCATCATACACACATCCCCCATCCTAGTATGATGGTTGTTAGGGCGTCCAAGTAAGCAATTGGCCAAGAATTTTAAAAATAATCGGAGAATTGGATGTTGGACGTGGCTAATGCTCAATTTAGACGAGCTAAAGTCCAATTCTCCGGTCATTTTTTCCCAAAGAGTATGGTTGTCTATTGTATTTCAATCCAAAAGGCGATTGCATTTTTAACTCATGAAAGAATGTTCTCATGCCCTTAAACAAACCCAATTCACGTAAAGCTTCATGGCATAAAAATCGTGAGGGTTTTACTTGCCTTGCAATTGAAGAGAGGAATTTGGCCCGATGTGCGTTGTTGGCAAAAATGACATCTTCGAAGCCCGGAATAGGTCCTCTTGCGTTGGAGCTTCCCCCTTTTCCTTCCTTGGAGCCATGGATTGCTAGTTTGGGCTTGAAAATTCGGACTTGGGGATGGGGTAGGTTTTTTTATGGACTTTTGATATATGGAGAGAAAGTGGGATTAATGGGTATGGGGATGTAGAGGAGAGTGAGGGGAGTATTTTGGTTGTTGAATGGAAGGATTTGGTGGAGGTTTGAGGAAGATATGGTAGAGAGAATGTGTAAAAATGGTGGTTTGGGGGAGGGGGTTCGAAATTTTAGAAGAGAATTTAATTTGGGGAAGATGAAGTGGGTTGGGCTGTTTTGGGGTTAAATCACAGGTGTACCCGATCGGGTACCCCGTCATACCCGATCAGGTATGTGTTTGTGTTGGGGTTTTGAGTTGTGTGCTCGATCGGGTATTGATCGGGTGATTTAGGCAGGCTTTTTGATTTTTCCAGACATACCCGACCGGGTAGAGTACATATACCCGATCGGGTATGTGTATATGTTGTTGTTCGATCGGGTAAACCTCTGGCTCTTCATTTCAGCATACACCCCGACCGAGTAAGGTAGTGTTCCCGATCGGGTATACTCTGTTTGTACAATTTGAGCTTTGTACTCGATCGAGTGTTGGAGGCAGGGTTTTTTATGTTTAAACTTCCAGCACTATCTGACCGGGTAAGGTAGTGTACCCGATCGGGTATTCTTCTTTTTGCACATTTTGAGCTCTGACTCGATCGAGTGCTCGAGGCAGGCTCCTTTTAGTTTTGTCCCCTCTGTAAATACTCGACCGGGTATGTAATTGTACCCGATCAAGTATGCATGTAACTTTACCCGATCGAGTATGCATGTAATTGTACCCGACGGGGTATGTAATTGTACCCGATCAGCTAATAATAATAATAATAATCAAGGGTGAAAGCAAAACCGCATGGTAGATCGAAATGCAAATGCCTGAAAAAGAGAGCTTCAAAAACTTACCTCAGAAAGCATACAACATTACAGAGATCTAATCCACTTCAGATAATAATTTAATTGAGTTTAAGAAAATGTGAGGCTTAAAAATCCAATTCTGAGCGCGAGAGAGATGGTTTACTTATTTTCTGAAAGTAATACTACCTCCATCCCAATAAATTCTTCCAAGTCAAACTTGGCTCGCAAATTTAGAAAGTGGGAAAAAAGTGAAAATGTATGGTTGTAGTTGTGTAAGAAAAAGGTAAATGAATGTGAACCACATATTTTTTCCAAAAGTGAAAGTTTGAAGAATTTTTTGGGACGGCCCAAAAAGGAAAGTTGGAAGAATTTACCGGGACGAAGGGAGTATCTTTTTACTTTCAGAGAGAAGAAAATCGAGGAAACTGTGTGGTGGGCACAATGGGGAGGTGAGAGACTGTTCTATCTTTGCTTCTGAGTTATGGGAGTCACAACAAGAAAATGTCAACTCATGCATCAATAAATCTTAATGTGACAAATAGGAAAACAATATGCACACATGAATAATATAAAGGCCACACTTGAATGATATAGTAGAGGAAAAGGGTGAAGAAGCTACATGCATCATTGATTTCCGGATACAAGACGCTTTAAGGGAAACCAATGAGGCGAAGGAGAACGCCAACGATGTTGGTTTTGTCTATTGCCACTGGGAAATCGACATGCATCTATTCGACTACCTCTTCACCGGGCATCCATTCGACTACCTCTTCGCCGCTCAAGCGGCTTCCACTTCTGCTCTGGTGTGGGCCGTATCGTTCTTGGAGCCTCACTCAGATATTCTCAAGAGGATGAGAACTAAAGTTAAGATATACTGGCAAATAGATGAGATAGTTGTTGTTGAGTCGAACTCCATCGTGTGCAAAAGCATGGAGATTTATGTAAATAGGATCAAAATATACCCCCCCCCCCCCAAAAAAAAAACAAGACCTAATAGTATAAAATGATTGAAATATGACTGTTTATTTGTGAGTGGACCAAAACACTCTCATTGATTTATAGCATTGTTTCCCCCATGCCGCTGGACCACCGCTCACTACTGGGCCACCAGATTTCCCCCCAAAATTTCTCTGTTGATCTGCCATAATTGCACCACCGGCACTGTCGGAGATCTGTGCCGTTGTTGGAATCTGTCGCCACCACAAATTGATCTACCACCAACGGACTGACCTTGATTATGCAAGCGATCTAGAGGAGCATCTAATTAGATTAATTGAGTAATTAATTAATCAAATTAGAGGTAGAAATGGAATTATTAGTCGTATTTCAGGAAAACCAAACATGTGATCTTATTTTTTGGAAGAATGGTATATACCGGTGGGCGTAGCATTACTGGTAGCAAGGGAGTGGCACAAGGGTTAGGTCCCGGGTTCGAATCCCGGCAACTGCGATGAGGGGTTACTATGCTAAAAATGCATAGGGCCTCTGCAAGTACCGGGGACAGAGCCTCACTCTCTATCTGTCAGATTGAGATTATAGTCCAATTTACATCCTCCCAACGTACCATCCGGTCGGGGTTGGGGGCCCTCAGGGATGGGGTGTCATTCTTTTTTTGGAAGAATGGTATGTTTTTATCTTTTGAAGAGCAATTTTATCACAAAAGGAACAATTATGTAGTGAGACAATTCTATATGTGAGATAGAATAATGCGCGCTAATGGTGTAAACTTAAAAACGTAGAATAAATTCCATTTTTTGGTCTTACTAGTATCGTATCAATTTCATGGTTGATTCACATCTTTGACTTTGACCACTTTTGGTACATGATTATTGTATTTTCACCCATATATAATCTAGGGGTGTTCGTCGGTTCGGTTTGGTCGGTTTCGGTTTTAGAAAAGGTGAAACCGAGAATCGAACCGCAGTACTTAAGTCGATTTCGGTTCAGTTATTTTCGGTCGGTTTAGTCGGTTTCGGTCGGTTTTAGCATGTTTTTTGTCGGTTTTCATCGACCGGTTTCGGTTCGATCGGTTTTTTAACCCAAAAGGTGAAATCGTAAACCAAACCGTCAATGATTAGTCGGTTTGAATCGGTTTTGGTTTTGGTCGATTCGGTTTCGGTCGGTTTGTCGGCCGGTTTCGGTTTTTCGGTTTTTTGTTCACCTTTATATAATCCTTCCGTCAATATTTCTGGTGATTAAAAGAAAATAATGATCGAGAAACATTAATATGAAAATGAGATAAAAGCGTATCTTACAAACTTCTTCTACTATCCTGGAGCTTTCTCATAATTCTCTCGCTAAATCACCTCACTTTCGTTTCATAGTCAACACTCAACAGAGTCGCAAGTTCAGGCTGTGTAGTGTTTTTTTTTTTGTGAGGGAAAGAAGATGTCGACCATGGAGAGCTTGATTGGGTTAGTGAACCGGATTCAGAGAGCTTGTACCGCTCTCGGAGACTACGGTGGAGGTGATAACGCTTTCTCTTCTCTTTGGGACGCTCTTCCATCCGTCGCCGTCGTCGGTGGTCAGGTCAGTCAAACCACCTTTTTTCTGCATTTTCAACTACAGTTTTCTTTCCATTGTATATCGTCTAGAAATGAGAGTATGAATTGTTCTGTAGACTAGATTTGGGTTAGATTTCAGCGATGTCCTTGATAGATAAAATCGGACTAGAAATTCGCAGATCCAACCTGAACAGGACCTAATGAAAGAGTTGAGTGGTTAGTTTGGTGTCAACTGTGAGTTTTAACCGGGAATCCGCCACCTAGATTTCATTCTATTTCTTCTGCCTTTCACTTTATATGTGAGTGATTTGGTGTTTGCTGTAGCTTATCATTTTTTCCCTATTGGAGTTCAGAGTTCTGGAAAATCATCTGTGTTGGAAAGCGTGGTTGGGAGGGATTTTCTTCCTCGAGGATCTGGTAAGCCCTTTTCATCACAGTGGAGTTCGATTTGGGAACTTTTTCTAATTCAAAGTGTATTGTTGGTGTTTCAGGAATTGTTACAAGGAGGCCATTGGTACTGCAGTTGCACAAGACTGATGGTGGGCAGCAGGAATATGCAGAATTTTCTCATTTGCCACGCAAAAGATTCACTGATTTCTGTATGTGAAATATCATTTTCTTTGCTTTGTCATATCTTCTTATGAAATTCCAGAGGAGCAAGTTTTATTATGCTTGTATTGTGTCATAGCATTCTGTAACTCTGATAGTAAGATGGACTTGGTGGTATGACTGTCTAATATATCTTCTGTAGCCATAGTACGCAAGGAAATTCAGGATGAAACTGATAGAATCACAGGGAAATCAAAACAAATTTCTCATGTTCCCATCCACCTCAGCATCTACTCCCCTAATGGTATAAACTCCTTCCTGTGCTCAGCTTTGAAAAGAGGACATTATATTTAATGAGTTACATGCTTATTCAATCTCTCACTCTCTTGAACGTTCACATGCTGACACCATCTGTTGCTTTGTGTTGGCAGTGGTCAACTTAACACTCATCGATTTGCCTGGTTTGACAAAAGTTGCTGTTGGTACTGGCTTTTTTTTAAATATATCCTTTGTTTACTTGGCAGTTCCCGTTTTGAGTTCCAGCTTTTTTCAAATCTAAACAAACTTATGCATTTCAGACGGGCAACCTGAAAGTATTGTTGAAGATATTGAAAATATGGTCCGAACCTATGTTGGGAAGGTAATGTATCCTTCTTTTTCTTTATACTTTCATAGTCATCAAAATAGAAGTATAACTGAAAGAAATCTGACTTTACCTCACTTAGGATGCTTTTAATTGGACTGAAAATTTTCGGTCTGGTCAGAACTGGACTGGTCTGGTAGACGTATGGTCTATGTGTATTTTGCAATGGTAGAAGTCTGGTCTGTTTAAGTCTTGTTTGTCCGGGGATTGAAATAAGTTCAAGCAAAAACATTTTTAGGTTCATTCTAAAATTTGAATGGTATTTATGCAGTACACTGTTATTTTTAAAAGTTTTATGTTAGATTTTAAATTTTAGTAAACAATTACTCGCCATTCTTTTCATTCTCACAAATGGTGGTTTGCTAGATGCTAATTACTTGGTTTTGCGGGTGTTTCTTTACATTGTGATTTACTACATATTTAATTTTCTTGTGGCATTGTAGCCCAACTGTATTATACTAGCAATATCACCAGCTAATCAGGATATTGCCACTTCAGATGCAATAAAACTTGCGAGGGAAGTGGATCCATCAGGTATATTTTATATTAGGATCTCTTAAACATATCTTCTTGTGACCCTTTTGAATATTTCAAAAGCTGTTGGCTGTTCTTGCAGGTGAGCGGACATTTGGAGTGCTCACTAAGCTAGATTTGATGGATAAAGGAACAAACGCATTGGATGTCTGTTCTCTCTTTTCCTTATGAATTTGAAATTGTAGTCCTAGTACTTGATTATCTTTCTGTTATTTCTTGTATTATTACACAGTGTCATTTGATGACCTTGTGTCCCGTTTCCTGACATCTGGTTCTTTCTGAAAGGTTCTTGAAGGTAGAGCTTACCGGTTGCAACATCCTTGGGTGGGTATTGTGAACCGTTCTCAAGCTGATATTAACAGAAATACTGATATGATTGTTGCAAGAAGAAAGGAGCGCGAGTATTTTGCTACAAGCCCTGACTATGGACACCTTGCAAGCAAGATGGGTTCAGAGTACCTGGCAAAGCTTCTCTCAAAGGTACATTCTTGCTCTTTCCAAACCTTTGTAGCTTTTTTGTCTTCCAGTGGCTTGTGCAAACTGTAGAATGGAGATTATTTGTAAAATAATCTTGGTTTTCAGCACTTGGAGTCTGTAATTAGGGCTAGATTACCAAGTATCACCTCTTTAATCAACAAAAGCATCTATGAACTTGAATCAGAGATGGACCACCTTGGAAGGCCTATTGCCGTTGATGCAGGGGTGAGCTGAATTTATCTCTCTATCTTTCATTCTTATTCATGTAATAATTGTAACACAGAGTGAATCTTCCTATTTGGTGACCGACTGAAACTTTTTCTCAGGCTCAGTTGTACACCATCTTGGAGCTCTGCCGTGCCTTTGACAAAATATTCAAGGAGCATCTGGATGGAGGGTAATAACCGAATTTCTACTTCCGCATTTAAAGGACCCTTAACTGAAGGATTGTGCCTTTTAGCCGAGTTATACATAATTTAAAATGATATCATTCTCACAGAACAGAGTTCCATCAGAAAAAGAATGAAATGCAAATTGTTATCCTTCTGAGTTCGTTTTCTGTGCTGCCTAATCCGCAGTTTCGCACATTAGGCAGGATTTAATTTAAGAACAAACCTTTTCATTGTGTTCTCTAATCCAGCCGACCTGGTGGCGATCGAATCTATGGGGTTTTCGATAATCAGCTCCCTGCGGCCCTTAAAAAACTTCCATTTGATCGGCATTTATCCATGCAAAATGTGAGGAAAGTTGTTTCTGAGGCTGACGGTTACCAGCCGCACTTGATTGCTCCAGAGCAGGGTTATAGACGTCTTATTGAGGGATCACTTAATTATTTTAGAGGACCAGCTGAAGCTTCTGTTGATGCTGTAAGTTTTCAACTCTTAGCCTTTGTTTTTAGAGAAACAAGGAATAGAGAAATGATAATTTTCCCTTGTTTGGTAAGCAAAAGAATAGAGAAATGATGATTTTCCCATGTTCAGTAAGCAAAATAATGAGAAGATAAACGGGGAGAAAAAGAATTGAAAAAAGTGAAAGAAGGAACTTTTCTCCTCTTATGAGAAGAAAAGGGAAGGAAAGTGGAACCATTTTCACCCATTCTTCTCTTACATTAGGTAGAGCATGTTACGGGTATGTTTATCTTTCTAAAAATGACATGCACTTCTTTCATTCCCATTCTTCTACTGTTTCTCTCTTCTCCATCTCTTTTTCGCCCATTTTTCTTTATTTCTTCCTTAAACCAAACAAAGGTTTACGTTTGTCTCATGTATTTATCCACATTTGAAATCTTGAACTGTGTGCACCTGACCAAAAATACAATATCAGGTTCATTTTGTTCTCAAGGAACTTGTGAGGAAGTCAATTGGGGAATGCCAGGCAAGAGTTTTGATGTTTTAATTAATAACCATCAGGGTTAATTGGGTGCTCTCCCCTTATGATTCCATTCCCCTCTAATTTCATTGATGAAATTTAGGAGTTGAAGCGGTTCCCGAGCTTACAAACTGCAATAGCTACTGCCTCCAACGAATCCTTGGAAAAATTCCGTGACGAAAGCAAGAAGACAGTCACTAGACTCGTAGACATGGAGGCTTCATACCTGACAGTGGATTTTTTCAGGAAACTTCCGCAGGATGTGGAGAAAGGCGGAGGAAACACAGCAGCAGTCAATGCAGCTGCTGCTGATCGGTATGCCGAAGCTCACTTTAGGAGAATTGGGTCAAACGTCTCATCTTATGTCACTATGATTTCTGACACACTCAGAAACACTATCCCGAAGGCTGTTGTCCATTGCCAAGTGAAGGAGGCCAAACAATATCTATTGAATCGCTTTTACATACAGATTGGGAAGAAAGAGGTATTTAATCACTTTGACCTACGGAGGTGTACATCATCTTCGCAGGAAAAGGCGAATATAATAAAATTTCCCCGGACCTTCTACAAAAAAAAAACTGTTCATGAACTATGAAGTATTATGGTGTCCTCTCTAGACCTCTATTGACAATAACATTCTCTTAAACTTTCAAAGAAGGCCTGATTGTCTTTGGAATTGTTGTGTATGACTTATAAACATGAATGTGATTAGGTATATGAGGAAAGTTGTAAGCACTGATAAAACCAGTTGGAATAACAACAAAAACACATTATGAACTCAAACATTTCTTACATGTTGGGCTGAACTTTGAAGATTTATAATGTGTTTTTTATGTCACTGCAATTGGTCTTATCCATCGGTTACGTCTTTCTTCATCACCTTGTCACTTTATTGTTTTAAAATGCTTGCATACATGATATGTCCAAACCTCAGTGCCATTGAATTAGTATATGTAATTGGACATTTGAATAGTTCAGCTAATTTGAGGTTTTCGCTAATAATTCAAGCTCATTCTCTCCATCTCTGGGTACAAAAAGCAAAGAAAAAAAAAGGTTCACGTACAGTATAAAACCTTAAATACGTTCTTTGAATCAAAATAATGTGGGAACTTTTTTTTTCAGGGAAAGGCACTTGGAGAATTGTTGGATGAAGATCCAGCTTTGATGGAGAAAAGACAGCAATGTGCCAAGAGGCTTGAACTTTACAAGAAAGCCAGGGATGAGATCGACTCCGTATCATGGGCTTGATGAGATTAGTATTAGTATGTACTATGTAGTGTATGAGTGTATCAGTACACTGGTTGTTCATATTATGATTGCAATCACCAATTGCCAGCTTGTTCACTTGTTAGACAACCCACTGTTGTTTATGTAGCGTAATCATGATTACGATATGTATTCTTGATTTACTAAATTCTTTTGTACACCGTACAATATGCAGACATACGCTCTCTAACATGCTCAACAGATTTTATATATTCTTGGGGACTTGGGGTGGGTAAGTGGTATTCTTTCGTATGCCGTACAAATATGCAGGATTTTATATGTTAGATTTTATATGTTAGGATGTTTTTATTCGGACTTATAAATTCCAAGCTAGACTTAAACTAATCAGAGTAGATAGATCAGACTTCGATAGTTATAAAATATATAGAGACCATAATATGTAATATACTCATATAGTATTAAGAGGCTGTTTGGAGCCCCAAAAAAGGGTTGATAAGCCTGAAAATGTAAAATTATAGCCAAACAAACACATGGCAAAAGGACTGTTTGGGCTGTTATTTCTTATCGGCCAAAAAAGCAACTATATGGTTACTTTTTGGGCTGAAAGTTATTAATTTACTGTTGGGATCCAAAAAGACTCCTTACCCTTCTATTATACTCGTAACATCTTCGTTGCTTTAGAAAAGTCAAAGTTTCATCCTTCCAAATCGTCGTTGCTAAAGGTAAGTTGCGCTCTATCTTCTTCTCCTTCAATTGTTCGTGGAACCACGTTTCTTAGATGTTTGATGACTTTGATTGGTTTTTAAAGTCAATGAACGATGATAATCAACTGATTTTAGGTGAATTAAATTATATACAACTTATTGAATCATCTTAGAGAAACTATTAAATGCAATAAAAAACTGTCCGGGGAAATTCTTTTTACTAGTAGCACATTTACTTAGAAGTTCTTTTAAGTAAGTTACAAGTCTTATTAAAGAGAAGAGAGGTTGTCTTCTTTCACTTTTCTATTCTTTTAGAGATTTTCTTTTTGCAATTAAAAGAGGCCATGTAGTATGCAGAGACATGGAAACACTAATTTCCGTATCTGTTGCGTGATCAATTTAAAAGCAGCATATATTTGTTGTATATTCAGGGGGGTAAACGTAAGGAATGATCTTGTTAATTTCAATAAGACTTTGCTAATTGTAGAAAGACTTTTACATATACCTGCTTTTACTTTCATCGTGTCTCTAGTAGCTTTAAAATGCCTTATTGATGGATAACTCTAGTCTATGATAGTCATCAGATACTACTTGGAGTGGCTGATACTAGAAATTGCCCAAACATAGATAAGTAGTGGCTAGATGAACATATCCATGCCTTAAAAATCTATTGGTATGCTTGTCTTGAAGTTGCTATGATCTAATTTAAAACAGACTGCATTTTGTAAGATAAAGTTGCTTAATGTGTAGATTATAAAGTTTAGCCTCATGTATACTTGTTTGTTTTTTCTTGCCATTGTAATATGCTTAATACATGTATATTTGTTTTATTTTGAAGATTATGAGGTGTAATGTTGAAAGGGAAGTGTGTTTTATATGGTAATGGTAGTATTTTCATCCGCTTTCATAATTTCAAAATACTGTTAGCTACAATGGCACTACATATTTTCATCCGCTGATACTCTAATGACGATCTTACTTTTGTTCGTTTTGAGACAAATCTTGATTTTGTTCTGGAAGATTGCATTACTCCACCAAGGTGGCACCAACACAAGAATCCACCACAAGGTCTTCAAATGAGGTTCGCGGTGCAAGTTCTCAACGTATGATTGCATTACGAGAAGAAATTATAGAAAATTGACACGTAATATGAGGCAACGTCATTGGTAGGGTATGTCAATTGCATGTCTCTATTATGTATTTTCTTTGTTTAATGTTTTTCAATACACGTAATGTACTCCAATTAATACTTATGTGGACATAGAAAGATTCCCAGAAATGATGCTCCAGACTTGACCTTTAGCAAATAGTTTTTCACATTGTACTTATTAGAATAGCTTCGTATAAACAGCCTTTTGAACGGCCTATCATTGTAATTAGGTCTCTCAGGCTCAAACCTAGGAGCTCAATCCACATTTTCTCTATAAATACTCCTTTTGGGATAGTTGTATGAGTTGAAAAACATTAAATGCAAATATCTTTTTCTCTCTAGAATTATACTCTATCAATGAGTATTACGTTTTTATCTAAATAAAAGTAATTAATGACATTTTTGTAAATATTGTAAGTTATAACATTTATATGATTATATTAATGTCAAATAACTCCAAAATACACAACTAACTTACTTTTAGGATGTTTTGATTGGACTAGTTTCAATCCAAACTAAACTAGATAGAATTTAGTATATCAAACCAAACTAGATTTTTGAAATTGTAAAATACGGAGTACAATGGAACAGATACATATCAGATTAGTTCATATCAGAGTAAAACAAAATTAAAATAGATAAGATCAAACCAAATGAAATTGAAATTTTCATTCAATTAGTAACAATATTCCAGACCCATGATAATTTTCATCTAATTTTGAATGAAAATTATATGAACTTTCTAAATTTTCTTGACCGTGGAAAAATTCCAGACTTGTGATAAGTTCTACCCTATCCGAGAGCTTTTCTCTCTAGGCGGCCGTCTCCCCTAGGTTTAGGGGTTGTTTTTCTCCGCTTTCGTCCTCGACGAAGTGCATCTTTCTTGTGCGGTTTTTGTCCGCCTTTCATGAGGCTGTCTTCTTCGGTAGACCGCAGCCCTATATGACAGCCAAAGGTTGTGTACCCCTAGCAGCAGGTGGAGAGTTTTGAGGATGTCATTCATGGTTGAGATCAGAAGGTCATGGACGAAGCGTAGGGTTAGGGGCTGGAACAGATCTAGACCGGAGACAAGGAGCGGAAGAAGCGACAACACTGTTGGACCGTCACCCTCCCGAATCGCTGCCATGGAGTGCAGGAAAGTTTAGAGTTTGGAAGCAGTATTTTAATTTTACTTTTATTGTTGTAAGACTCTTGCATTAGGATTGAGTAATGGAAGGTCTGCTTTAACCGTCGTTGACTCATTTATATCCATTTATATCCATTATATGATCAACGAGTTATATTGTTTTTTTTGGAGGCGATCGACTCTAAGTGTGGTTCGAGGGATGACGGTTGTCTGTGGTCCTTTTACCGTTTTACCCCTTATCTGAATGACGTGATATTAATTTAAATCATGATAAAAAAATCAATTAATTAATAACATCCTTACGATACTCTTAATTTAATTTAGAATATTAATATCGTCCGTCCTAAAGAACTGACAGAACATAGAATAGTCGACTAAATTCGAATTAAAGAAATTTCATTTTCCACATTTTCCTAATCAATTTCGGTATTCCTTCTTATCTCTTCATCCTCGACTTCTACCCTGAGCCGTCTGATCCGCTCTGATCTTCCTCCAAAATGATTACAATTCCGTATTTCACCGCATTGACCACCTTCTTCAGCTACATCCTCCTCTTTGTTTTCGGCCAAATCCGCGACTTCTTCAGAAAAATCATTGATTGGTGGCATTCGAGCAATCTTCAGGTACGTTTTGTATATACTTGTGAGTGATTTAATTACGTCCAAGCGCGTCCCTATCCACTTGCAGTGGTTTATAATCTACGGTTTACATCCGTATGGAGCTTAATTTTGAAGATCTTGCCTGTTTTGTTTCTAACGATAGGGATATGCTCCGATTTGCTTGGGGCTTGAAGATTTCTACATTCGCCGGCTATATCTTCGAATTCAGGTATATTATCCATTCTAATTTTATTTTCTGCCGTATTGTATATTAGTAGAGGTGGATAAGTGATCTACGAATGATTTACGAGAATCAATGGTTCAATATCATTGAAAGGAAACTGAGTGAATTAAGTATTATGGCATGTCTTTCAGGTAATCAACGGTTCAATATAATTTCATTTTCTGCCGTATTATGTATTATGGCATTTCTTTCAGGTAATTTAAGGCTGTATTGGAGAGAGTGAGAGACTAGACATGACTTTTTATTTGTATCTTCTCTTCCTAGAGTGAATTAATTGTGCAGGATGCCATCTGTATGCTTTTAATTATGTATATTCCAAGTTCCAACTAGTTTGAGAATGCGACCTTACTGAGTTGGGTCCTTGTTGGATATTATTAATATATAATACTGCAGAAATAATGTTTTGCTGAAAAGGTTACCCACTTATGGTCCTCTGTTGAACTTACTGATCGGTAGTTTTAAAGGCAACATAAATATATTACCAAAAAAGTTACTCTTTGATGGCAGAGTTTCATGCTTGTTAGTTTATTCTTTTTATACATATAACTTTTTACAGGACTGTTTTGGTCGACCAATTTCTAGTCCTCCTGATGCTTGGTTTGATGTGCTGGAACGAGTTTCTAATGACAATAATAAAACTCTACAGTGAGTACTCCGTTAGAATCTCTTCAATGCTGGATCTGGTTACTCTGTTAGTCGGTTGTTTTTACTTGCAAGTTGCAACCATATTTCGCACATCTGATTTATTGTTTCTCAGTGTTTGCATGGGCGGACCGTAGTAGAGACCCAGGGGGGCTACCGCCCCCCCAACAAATTTTTTTTTTAGTGTATATATATACGAAAAATAATTTTTGCTCTTCCAAAAAGTATTTTGAACCCCCCCCAAAATATTTTCGCCCCCCCAAAATGACTTTCCTGGGTCCGCCCCTGCGGTGTTTGATTGATGACTACCAAATTCAACACATCTGTGCAGGTGTACCACAAAAGTTACTAGGTGCCTTAACTTGGGATCATATAATTATCTTGGTTTTGCTGCATCTGATGAATATTGCACGCCTCGTGTCATTGACTCCTTGAAAATCTTTTCACCAAGCACATGTAGTAGCCGTGTTGATGGAGGTAGGCTTTATACGTTGAGTTCATTCTTAATTCTAACACATTTTTTTCAAAACAATAGGACTACAGCTACATTGTTAATAGTCTAAATGATTTGTGTTGGCAGGGACTCTGTCATTACACAATGAGTTGGAGGAATGTGTGGCTAATTTTGTTGGAAAACCAGCTGCCATAGTCTTTGGCATGGGCTACGTGACGAATTCAGCAATTCTTCCTGTATTGATTGGAAAGGTATCCTCAATAAGCACTATATTCCGCATTCAAAATTTTATGTCCTCTTATCCCTCAACTTATTATCTTTTCCAGGGAGGCTTGATTATTAGTGATTCTCTGAACCACAATTCTATTGTTAATGGAGCTCGAGGATCTGGAGCTACTATTAGGGTATTCCAACATAACAGTAAGTTTTAAATAATACATTTCTCTCTGTTCCCATTTCCTTCCTTTAATATTGTTTTGAGGGAATAAATGAAATAGTTGAGATGTGTGTCCCACCATTTTATTTATTTCCCACAAAGCCATAGTAATGGAGTGAAATACTGAAATAGACTTGCAAGGGAATCAAGAGGATCCCCACTAACAATACCTGCCATGTAAAATGCTCTATTTTGCCTTGTTATAGCCTTATAGGCATGTTATTAGACAAGCTAAAAAACAGTAAACTGAACTAGTATTATTACAATGGAGACTGAGAAATTCTCAGTATTCCAGAAGAGGATTACAGTGAAGAAACGAGAAAACAACCCAATCTAGAGAAAGAACAGGAAGCTTCTCTCCCTAGCCAAGGCCCATCCACTTCTAACAGAATACCATCCTATTATTCTCTTATTTCCCTCCCCTACATGTACTCAATGAGACAAGCCTGATCATTAATTATTCCCGCTCCTTTTTCCCCTCCTAACATACACCTTATTAAAATACTCAACACCCCTTGTGCTATCATTACCCTCCCCTTGAACTACGACCTTGTCCCCAAGGTTGAACTTCGGAAACTGTTTCTGGAATTTGTTCAGATCCTCACAAGAATCCTCAAAATCTGGCAGCTGTCTCCAATGAACTAGCACTTCCTTTTCTCCATTGGGTTTCAGTCTGTAATCCACCACTTCCGCAGGCTGAACTTGTAACTCCCGCTCTTCAAAAATGCAGGTAGGTAGAGGCTGGCAATGCAGGTTAGGAGAAACTGCCTTCTTGAGCAAGGATATATGGAACACTGGGTGCACTGTACAACCCTCAGGTAGTTGCAGTTTGAATGCCACCGGATTTATCTTTTCGATCACCTCAAATGGCCCATAGAATCTAGGGCTCAGCTTCTGATTCAGCCTTTTAGCTAGGCTTTTCATTTTATAAGGCTGAATTTTTAAGAATACCTCGTCTCCCACCTCCACTTGTAATGGTCATCTATGTTTATCCACTTGCTGTTTCATTCTGTTCTGGGCCATAGCTAAACTGTGCTTCAACTCATCCAACATTAAGTTCCTCTCAGTTGTCAACTTGTTAACTTCTTCAACTGCTGAACACTTACATCTCCTCTCAAATAGCAGGGGGATCTTGTCCATATAGGGCTTTATAGGGAGTATTCTTAATTGATATGTATAATTGGTTTTATTATTATACCAGTATTCAACCCAGGAAAGCCATTTAGGCCGCTGTTTAGGCTTCAGCCCAGTGATGCATCTCAAGTAAGTTTCACCACTTCAGTTTGTCCGTCAGTTTGAGGATGGTAGGCTGTACTGTATGTCACTTTGGTGCCTGCCATCTTGAACAATTCTGACCCAAAAGAACTCAAGAAGACCCTATCCCTATGAGATACTATGGATTTAGGGAATCCATGTAATCGAACCACCTCCTGAACAAAAACTTCTGCCACCTCCTTGGCAGTGAAAGGGTGGGAAAAGGCTATGAAGTGAGCATGTTTGGTTAACCTGTCGACTATCACCAAGATCCTGGAAGTTGATTTTCAAATCCCCCAAACTGGTTAGCCATTCCACCCCAAATACTAAATCTGTCCCTCCCAGCTCTAGCAGGTAGAAGCTTTGTATAATTTCAAGGCCTTGCACACCAAACCTGTGATCCCACACACCTCCTATTGTTGCTCACTCTGTCCCCATTACCCAGTTCCACCTGAAATTCATCAATTTGGTTGTATGGCAACTGTAATTCCTCCACTAGGGCTTGTGATATGAAATTACGGGTGGCTCCACTGTCGATCAGGATCAGCACAAATCTGTCCATTCCCTTTCCCATCAATTTTCCATCCAACTTGAAAGTCTTCTGTGTAGTGATCCCCTGTTTACTCATGGCAGATAGCAGCATTTATGATGGTACCAGGGAGCTATCTGCCTCCTTCAAATTCACTTCTGAATCCATATTGTCTGCTTCTTCCTCAGGCCCTTCCATGAGAATGAACTTGTAGTATTTCATTTTGCAGACATGATCCTTGCCCCATCTTTCCCCGCATTTGAAACATAGCCCCTTCCATCTTCTGTCTTGTAATTCCGCTTGTGTCAGCCTCTGGCCACCCTTCCCGTTATTAATAAGTTCTGGTTTAGCTCCCACTTTAGACTCAACTCCAGGTTTTTCCTGAGGTGAGTGAATATTGGTTTGTTACCTCCATTTGCTGCCATCTATCCACTGTTGAGGTTTCTTCAGTGCCTATCCCTTTTCTCTTCCAGCTCTCTGGTCCCCCTCCTTGTATTTTTCCCCTCGCATTGAGCATTCTTCCCTTCTAGCACTAGAGATATATTCATGAGTTCAGGTAGTGAGGCTTTTGGATATAGTTTAAGCTTTGCTTTCACCTCCTCCAATCCATTGAGGTAAATTCCATTGAGCATCTCCTCATCAGTATGCTTCAATGGGCCCATTACCAGTTCAAATCGTTCCCTGTACTCCATCACTGATCCAGTCTGTTTAATGCTTAACACTGGTCCATACGGATTCTGTACTAACTCTGGCTGGAATCTCCTGATCAGTGCTCCCTTAAACAGCTCCCAAGTTTTTCCTCAGTTTGTTCTTCCCACCATTGGAACCAATTCAAGGCTTTTTCTTCCATGGCCAGAACAACCAGCTCTACCTTTTCCTGCTCGGTCACATAATTTAATTTGAAAAATCGTTCCACTCTAATAATCCAACCATTCACATCTTCACCATTGAATAGAGGAAGATCCACTTTCCTTCCAGTTCTCTCAAATCCTCTATTAATCTGATCATGTTCATGAGTGCGCCCAGAAACTGAAGTGCTATTTGTATTACCTTGAGAGTGCAAAGACTTCCTTTAATATTGTTTTGAGGGAATAAATGAAATAGTTGAGATGTGTGTCCCACCATTTTATTTATTCCCACAAAGCCATAGTAATGGAGTGAAATAGACGTGCAAGGGAATCAAGAGGATCCCCACTAATAGTACCTGCCGTGTAAAATGCTCTATTTTGCCTTGTTATAGCCTTATAGGCATGTTATAGACAAGCTAAAAAACAGTAAACTGAACTAGTATTATTACAATGGAGACTGAGAAATTCTCAGTATTCCAGAAGAGGATTACAGTGAAGAAACGAGAAAACAATCCAATCTAGAGAAAGAACAGGGAGTTTCTCTCTCTCTAGCCAAGGCCCAGCCACTTCTAACAGAATACCAGTCCATTATTCTCTTATTTCCCTCCCCTACATATATTCAACGAGACAAGCCTGATCATTAATTATTCCCGCTCCTTTCCCCCCTCCTAACGTACACCTTATTAAAATACTCAACACCCCTTGTGCTATCACATGTATAGTATTGTATTTATATAATCTCTTACTGTGGTATCTGCAGCACCCTCTCATTTGGAGAAGGTTTTGAGAGAACAAATTGCTGAAGGGCAACCTAGGACACACAGGCCTTGGAAAAAAATAATTGTTGTAGTGGAGGGAATATACAGCATGGAGGGTGAACTTTGCAAACTTCCGGAGATCGTTTCCATATGCAAAAAGTACAAGGTAATGTATCCTTATAATGTATTTGTATGAAATTCAATCACCAAAAGACATTTTATTCTTTTAAATTTGAAGTACAAGTAATGAGAATCGCTATCTTCCCTGTCCCTCTGGACATATCTCTGTGAAAGAAAATTTAGAATAATTTCTCCTCCCTTAATCTTTTTTCAGAGAGTTGCTGGGTAGTGGGTGCATATTTATTTACCCAGCTAGGTTGTATTTGGATATTTCTTGTAAAACCTTTGTAAATTTAGTTGCCAATGAGTTAATCTACATGGTCAAGTTACATGATTTACATTTTTATTTTACTAAACCAGCTATGTATGTTTGAGTGCAGGATAGCATCTTTTTTTTCTCTTTAAATACAAGTCTGGACAGGAATGTCTATATTTTTCATAAGGCTTTCATTGGAATTCCATAAAAAGTTATTTAACTAGAGGTGATTTGGTAATTGGATAATACTGAAAGCTAGATCCCCAACCCCCTAAGGGGAATGGTTTAAAATATAAACCATTTCAAATCATTACTCTGGCATGATATTTTTCGACTCAAGCTAAAGAAAAACCCATGGTGAAGGTGGATTTTAGAATATAATTTCTGCATTGCTTTATAAAATATTTGCCACAAGAATGAAATAACTTGTTTATACTTTTTCTTGAAATTAGTGTGTCAGTTAACTTTAGACATTTTGTTGGTAGTTTGGTACTACATATTTCATGACACCATCACACATAGTAGGAAATTAGGAATAATGATTAGTTTGTTTGGTTTTGAATTGACAAGATATTTTTATTGACACTTACTCCAACGTGTTTGAGAGTTGGGATTAAGGCAATGATGACATCTACAATCGTGCTCTTGTTTCAGGCGTATGTTTACTTGGATGAGGCTCACAGCATTGGAGCAATTGGCAAAAGTGGGAGGGGTGTCTGTGAGCTCTTAGAGGTTGACACTGCAGATGTGGATATCATGATGGGAACCTTCACAAAATCATTTGGATCATGTGGTGGTTATATAGCAGGATCCAGGGTTTGTTTCTATGTTTTATCCTTATCTTGCTTTCACTGTGGAAATTCATGTCTTTTGCATTAGTGGTTAGAGTAGTATGTTTTTTGTGATACAATGCTCTTGATTCATCTTGAGGTTTATATTATTTTCCCTTCATCTTATTTATGTTGTTGACTCTCCATCCCAACTTTTTTGATGTTTTGCCATTTTTGTCTCGAAATAATTCTCGTTTCGGGAATGCAATGCATATTTTTCTTATCAATCTTCCAACTTTCCATAATACTCCCTTTTGTTTACTTTAAGTGCTCTGTTCCTTTAAAAAATGTATTATATATTGTATTGAACATAAAAAAGGATTTAAGTGTCATCTTGTATGACTCTTTGATATGTTTACGATTCTCATTAACAGCAATTTATTTAGACAGAGGGATGTCAATTAAGACCAATGTATGTGAACAATAAAGTTATATGTAGCATTAAGAACCTACACTACATTTGATAAGATTTTTTTAAGAAAGCAGGTTTCATCTTCATTTCATCTTCATTTACCCCAGTGCCGCAAAGGCTCCCACCTACGGTGGGGTAAGGGGGGTCGGATGTACGCAGTCTTACCCCTGTACTAAAGCACAGAGAGACTGTTTCCGGATGACCCATAGTGAAAATCGCGTCCAAAATTGCATGGACTGACTGCTGGTTCATAACAAAGAAGCGCAGACAGTTTAGTGAGCCATTTTGCTTTATTCCATCATAATCTCAAGCCAAAAAATAATGAATCTTTGGCTCCATTGCAAATGATGGAAAATTTTAAGAAAGCAGGTAAACAAATAAAAACGTTTGACCCTTAATTGTGGTTTGGACTTCTGATTACAACTGTAAGCCACGTAGCCCCACTAAGATTTCAAATGGATATAATTTCAGCCATTTTGCACTTGCCACTTGGTATGTTTATCTTTATTGCTTCCGAAGTCAAAGTAAAAGAGCATTGATCAATCTGAAAATCATTTTCAGGAACTGATTCAATATTTGAAGTACACATGCCCTGCCCATCTATATGCAACATCTGTATCACCTCCTGCTGCCCAACAAATTATTTCTTCTATAAAAGTTATTCTTGGAGAAGATGGCTCTAGTCGAGGTAAGAGCATTTTCAACCTCCCGCATCAGTTGTTTAGGCCTCATTGGCCGTTGGGTATCATTTTTTAGTTTGGATTTTTTTTTTGCTTTTGTGAGAACTAAAAACAAATTTCTGAAAACCAGAAAAAGTTGTTTTCAGTTCTGTAAATAACATGGTATCATTTACTTCCTCTGTCTTGCACTATGCCAAATTTCTTTACTTGGCCGTCCCATAATAGTATGTCACTCTCGCTTTGAAGAAAAATTTGCGGTTTACGTTATTTATCTCTCGGTCTCTCCCCTACACAAATCTCTACCATATATTCTTCGTGTAAAGTCAGACATGGGAAAGTATCGCAGATGGAGGAAGTTACCTTTTAAAATCATAAAAACAAGAGAAAAAGTGACAGTCATACCTAGTGGGCCCTTTAATATGGTGCTGCTTTCTAATTTCACGCACTTACTCATCATATTTATGAAACAAAATTATATAAAATGAACTCCCTCTGTCTCATTTTATGTCTTCCTTTCCACTTTGGGTTATCTGAAAGTAAACGCTTGGTTTCCTTTTTTGGCAAGAAATATGTGGTTAGTATCATTTCACTTTACTCTATTCAAACCTCAACCATATCTTTTATTTTTCAACCCTTTATTAATAATTGTGTCAGGCCAAAACAAGACACGTAAAATGGGGACAGAGGTAGTACTTTAGGCCCCACCTAGAGGTCGTCCTAGATATTGAACTGGTTCTTGACGAGCGCCTAGTGACACTGTGTGCTATCTTTGCAATGTAATTAGTAGAGGTGTATGCATCTAAATGTGAGGAAATGTAAACTCTGTGATGCAGGAGCTGAAAAACTAGCACGCATACGCGAGAACAGCAATTTTTTCCGCTCAGAACTGCTCAAAATGGGATTTGAGGTTTTGGGAGATAATGACTCTCCGGTAATGCCAATAATGCTCTATAATCCATCCAAAATACCTGCGTTTTCACGAGAGTGTCTAAAACAGAATGTAATGCTTCTCTTTTTATTTTTGGTCGAAACGAATACTACAATTATGTGCTCGATCATGACCAATGTGACCAACCCATGTACACTTGTATAATTAATAGGTGGCCGTTGTAACAGTTGCTTTTCCAGCAACTCCTCTATTATTAGCGAGAGCACGGATATGTATTTCTGCTTCTCACACAAGGGAAGATCTTCTCAAAGCATTGGAGGTTACATATCATCCCATCCCTTTTTATTATGATTATTAATAGGGAATAGGGGCAAATAAGCCCTCGAACTAACCGAAAGAGTACAAATCACCCCTTTTATAGGAGGCTCTGTCCGGCCATCACCATTTGGGGTGGTTACCGGTGGAATTTTTTGATGAATTTTTTTGAGCATCTTCTTCATTAAGTCTAGTTTACCCATACCAAATTTCAACTTAAAATGCAATCGGGAAGGCAGTCAAATAATTGTTTGAAGATAACAGTGCAGTATAATTCAGAAAATCATTTGACTCCCTTCCCGGTTGAATTTTTAGCTGAAATTTGGTATGGGTAAACTAGACTTAATGAAGAAGATGCTCAAAAAAATTCATCAAAAAATTCCACCGGGAACCTCCCCAAATGGCGACGGCTGGACAGAGCCTCCTATAAAAGGGGTGATTTGCATTTTTTCAGTTAGTTCGAGGGCTTATTTGCACCTTTTCCCTTATTAATATGATTATTATTTGTGTAAATCTTTTGACCATCATCCTTGTTAAATTTGAGAATCTTCTCAATTTTCACAGGTTTTCAGTAGAGTTGGTGATATGGTTGGCATAAAATACTTCCCTGCAGAACCAAAGAAGCAACATTTAGAAGAAAACAGAATCAAGCTAGAGTGATGATCACACACCGCCTGGGTTTAACAGTCGTATAAGTTCCAACAGCATCTGCACGATGTTAGAATTATGAGGTTTGATGATGTTGCCCGCTGAAATATCACCGGGCTTACACGGATTGATTGTCATATTTAGGTCAATTTGATGATTAGAATTTGTCAAGTGTTGTGTGTACAGTTTAAGGTTGTAATTTATGACAAAGACACGGGGAGTGTTATCCCCATCATCACTTTGAGTTCCTCTTGATACAACACAATATGTGAGGATTGAGACAGGCGCAGCACAGGCAGTGCAAGTTTATCAGGAGTGTGACTATTTTGGGGTGGTTGAATGAGCAGGAAGGGGCAGAGGCTTGGAGCTTGCGAGAAATTGGGATACCGTCCTCATTTGCTCCCTAAATGTAAACTTGCGCATTGGAATGGTCTCTATCGGGTCACGATTTGCTCCCGCTGGAGGTTTCTGATTTAAGCTGTATGATCTCGTTTGAGCTACTTATGACGGTGGGTGGGATTCACCGTTTTGCTAGTGCATAAAAGAAAACACGCCATCACTCCTTGTATAATACGAGTACCATATATTTTGGCAATTGTAAAATTTGGTGGCTTGTTAACTTATGGTAATAATAATTTAATGATGTTTTTTGACAAAATTATTTTACATTCTCGGCTTAAAATGAATTCCTGGATAAAATCATTTGACCCTTACAAGTTACAAGCTGTTTTTGAAATTTGAAAATATATATATATATATATATATGTTTTGGTTCAAATAAGAACATGATCTTATGAGAAAAATGAGAGTAAATCTGGACCGTTAGATTTGCTTTATGTGAAATTCAATGTGCATTAGATGAAGCTGTAATGTGTTTCAGGTGAAATTGAAATGTGCAACACAAATGATACAATGTAACGGCGTTATGTGAAGCTAAATTGTGCATTAGGTGAATTTGAAATGTGTACTAGATGAAACTAAAATGTGCAGAATAAAAGATACGATGTGATATTATTTGTGTACCTTTTATTCTGTACATGTGCATTAGGTGAAACTGAAATGTGCAGAATAAAAGGTACGATGTGATGTTATTTGTGTACCTTTTATTCTCCACATTTCAGTTTCATCTAATGCACATGTAAGTTTATATATATATATTGATGAAGTATATGGCTCGGGAACCCTCGGTCCACAGACTCTTACTACTCCAATAAAGGCCCAATAGGCCCAGGAAGCACAACAGGCCCAAATCACAGCGCCCAGAGTACCAAGCGGCCCACAGTGAGCGCTAGGGGTGCCTTCGGCCCCTGGCCGAAGGCTCCAATTCTCACAGGAGGGTCAAAACAGGAAAACAAAGTTACTCGGAGAAAACGGCGAAAATCAGTAACCCTCGACACCTGGAGCCCTTGGCACTAAGGAGGTCCCCGGTGATCAGAGCCCTCGGCTAGTCATCTACAGCCGAGGGCACCTTTCCGACATAATATCCGCTCCACATGCGTATGAATCACCGTACCAAGTACGACGTCACATCCAACAGCCGCATTAAATGCGGCCACATGCGAGTGCCAGCGCCAACCAGTTGAGGTGACCCCTCGGCCAATGGATGCTTGACACGTGTCCCTGTCTGGCATTTATTGCTACTATAAATAGCACCCCATTTCCCCATTTGTGGAGAAAGAAGCAAATACGCTGAATACATTTTCTAATATACTCTCTCTACTTACTTGCTCTGACTTCTCTCAAGTTATTCCCCGTAATAACCCCTCGGATAAGCTACCCCCCGGGTACACTATCCATCATTTGATGCTCTCGTTGAGAGGTCGAACAATCAAGTAAGAAACCCTCCCCCTCGACCAAACACAAAACACCTAGCCAAAATGGTGAGAACAACTCGTGCCAACTCCAGAAATGTTGAGGACAGGAACCTGGCCCTCGGCGAAATCGACGTCCCCGAAGCCTCTAACAGGGGGCGGCGTCCTCACCGGGTTGTTCCAGACGACTGTCGACCTACGCCATCAAATTCAACAGAATGCCCCCGATGCCCGCCTCGGCATCGAGGCCAAGAAGAAGGACCGGAGCGAGAATCAAATTATCCCTCCGGTCATCACAATCGACGTACAATCGGCGCTCTCCGCCTTCATCCAGACGCTCACCCAGAACCCGGGTGCCTTCGGCACTTTGGTTCTCCTCCAACCTCAGGTCGGGGAGAATATTATGTCTCCCCCTCATCCACACACACTCGGGAACCCGGTCCTCCGGATTGGGAACTCCGAGGGGGTCGTGGCCCAAGATACGGCCTCCCAGGAAGTCCAGTCCCGGGACCGCCACAACGTAAACAAAGAACAACTCCGGACATCCGCCCTCAAGAGACTCGGAGGGGCGCAAGACCGCCGAGGGATCCAAGACCGCCTCGGAGGGAAGGCGTTCCAGAGGCCTCAGGAAAGTGGCGGATCCGTCTCCAGGGCCAATGAAAGGCGTCCCCCTCACGACAAAGGCAAGGCACCTCTCCATGCCAACGACGCCCGCCACCAAATCAACCAGGCCCACTCGGCCCGCGTCCATTCGCGGGGGGCGGAGGCCCTCCCGAAGGACCCCCGGGACGAAATCATTGCGGCTCTCCAGCATCGGCTCGACGAGATGGAGGCCACCAAAGCACACGCCACCACTTCTGCCCCTCATACAGACCTCAAGTAAGAGGCGATGTTGGCCAAGATGGAGAAAATGCAGAAGAAGATAGTCGAGGGCTCCGGGGAACCCACCATACAGCTCCGGACCCGGACGCCATTTACCCCAAGGGTATTGGCGGCCCGGATCCCGGAAAAATACCGAGGGCAGCTCATCAAGCTCTACGACGGAAAGACTGACCCCTAAGAGCACTACAGCAGGTACCAAAACAGCATGATGATGGTGGGGGCATCGGATGAATATTTGTGCCGCTGGTTCCTCTCCACCTTAGAGGGGCCGGCTTACGAATGGTTCAATCGATTGCCCGAGGGCTGCATTGACTCGTGGCAAGAACTCGCCCACCGATTCTTGATGCAATTTATGGGAAGGCGCCGCACAAGAAAACACTTCTCCCACTTGCTGACAATGAGGCAGAGGAAGGAGGAGACCCTTCGGGACTTCTTGGAGCGCTGGAGAACAGAGGTTGATAAAGTTGATGGCACTGACGACGGGACCCTCCTGGCCCTCCTCCAAACGGTTCTCCGCCCCGGGAACTTCTCGAGGAGCCTCATCATCGAACCCCCCCGCGATTATATAAGGGCCCTACAGCGGGGGGACCGGTACGTCGAAGCCGAGGAGGTGGAGAAATGCCACCACGTCCCAGATCAGCAACACCCTCGGCCAGACGACAAAGGTGACCGGGGGCCGGGGGCTCCCCGCAATCATCCCAAGGATTTTGCCCCCTCCGGTGATCGCCCCCGGCATGGCCAAGCCAAGCCCGGAGGAGGCTACAAGGGGAACCCGAGGGCTTGGGCACAGCCTGTCCTCCTGGAGCACCCTCGGACACCTTTGACGCACCCCGTCAGCGTCATTCTTGATTTTGCTGAGGAGAGGGGCCTTGTGGAGCGAGATTCACGCGCACCCCCGGAAGTATTTGCCATCAATCCAAACTACCCCTACTGTCGTTTCCACCGGCACCAGGGGCACATGACCAATGACTGCCATCAGCTGAAGACGGCCATCGAAAGGCTGATACAAGCGGGCCATCTGTCCCAGTTTATCCAGGGCCCTCAGCAACAAGGCCCCCTCATCAAGGGCCACCCCGAGGGCAAACTGCGAGAGCAAATGCATGGGTCAACCCCAACACCATCCCCCTCGGCAAGAAGAGGGAGATTGGGAACCTGGAAGAAGAGGAGGAGGAGTACCCCCGGTACCAAGAAAAGAAACGCCACATCCTCATGATCACGGGGGGCAATACCGGGGGTGATTCTACGAGTCAACGAAAGAAGTGGGATCAATCACTTTACGTGGGGGAAGTCACTCATATGCCCCCAGTAAAGCGGCTGAGGGAGGAACCCATTACCTTCACTAACGCTGATCTCCCCCAGTATCCTCCCCACACAGGGATGCCCTCGTCATCCGCACAGAAATAAATGACACTATTATTCACCGAACTTACGTTGACACGGGCAGCTCCGTCAATGTAATGTACCTCAGTACCTTCAGAGAGATGCATCTGGAGAGGGGGTCCCTTCGGCCCATCAAGACCCCTCTTGCCGGCTTCACCGGCGACACCATTGATTCTGGGGGGGTTATAACCCTCCCGGTACTCTTCGGCGACGGGCTCCATAGAGCCAAGCTCGAGGTGGAGTTCGTCGTCATCAACATCGACTGCGCCCACAACATCATCCTCGGCCGGCCAGCCCTCGAGGATCTCGAAGCCGTCATCTCCATGAGGCACCTCTGCCTCAAGTTCCCAGCCGAAGGGGGCATCGATTATTCGAGGGGGAACCAAAAGCTTGCCCGCGCTTGCTACCTTCAAGTAATGAAGAAGGTTAGCAAGATGGAGTTCCGCGTTGACACCATCACCGGAACTGTGGAAGTGGAAGAAAGGAGGCCGAGGGCTGAACCAGCCGAGGAGGTAGAAGACTTCACGCTCGATCCGGCCAAGCCGGAGAGAGTCGTGAAGATTGGAGCCAAGCTCCCTGAAGACTTGAAGACCGGCATCATCAGCGCCCTCCGCGCCTACTCCATTGTTTTTGCATGGGGGCCGGAGGACATGCCGGGGATCAGCCGAAGGGTCATCACCCACCGCCTCTCGGTGGACCCTTCGGCCAAACCAGTACAACAGCGGAGGAGACCCCTCTCGGCCGAGAGGAGGGAATTCGTGAAGAAAGAGGTTGCCATGCTCCTCTCAATCAAGCACATCAAGGAGGTAAAGTACCCCTCATGGTTGGCAAACGTGGTCCTTGCACAAAAACCGCCCTCATTCCGCATGTGCGTGGACTACACGGATCTCAACAAGGCGTATCCCATGGACCCCTTTCCTTTGCCAAACATTGATCAACTTGTAGATGAAACCGCGGGATGTGAAATCATGTCATTTTTCGACGCATTCCGCGGATATCATCAAATATTTATGCATGAGGAAGACGCTGAAAAAACAGCATTCATGACTCCCGGGGGTATTTCAAGCTGTTCTAGGGCGCACCATGGAGGCATATGTTGACGACATGATCGTAAAAAGCAAGCAATCAGCAAGCCATGCTGACGACCTGAGGGAGATCTTCGCCATCATGCAGAAATTCAACCTTCGGCTAAACCCGAAGAAGTGTACCTTCGGCGTCCAAGGGGGCAAATTCTTGGGCTACATGGTGAGCCGAAGGGGTATCGAGGCCAACCCCGAGAAGATCCAGGCCATCATCAACATGGAGCCCCCACGCAACGTAAAGGAGGTCCAAAGATTGACGGGCCGCCTGACAGCCCTCAATCGCTTCTTATCAAAATCGGCGGAGAAGTCCTTACCCTTCTTCCAGATCATGAGAAAAACCGCCGGTTTCTAGTGGACTTCAGAGTGTCAGGGGGCCTTCGAGGAACTGAAACGGTACTTATCTTCGCCCCCTGTGCTCTCTAAACCCAAGGTGGGGGAGGTTCTATACCTTTACCTGGGTGTTAGCCCGGCAGCCATCAGCTCAGTACTCATCCGGGAAGAGGATGGCATCCAACACGCCATCTTCTATGTTAGCAAGACCCTCAGGGAAGCGGAGCTCCGGTACTCCCCTGTGGAAAAAACGGTATTGGCTATCGTGTGGACCGTCAAGAAGTTGGGCCACTACTTCCAGGCTCACCCGGTCCAGGTCCTCACTCATCAACCCCTCGGCGCTTTGATGAGGAGCCCCACCAGCTCCTCCCGAATGGTGAAATGGGCTGTCTTCTTGAGCCAATACAACATCGACATCCGTCCTAAGCCCGTCATCAAGGGCCAAGCCCTAGCAGACTTCGTGACAGAATGTACGGCAAGATCAGCCACGGACGAGGAGCCCTCGGCTCCTTCGGATGATTGGTGGACCCTCTACACCGATGGCTCCTCCGCCGTCAAAGCATGTGGAGGAGGGGTGGTTCTCATCTCACCCGAAGGCTTCCGGGCCTATTACGCAGTCTGCTTCTCCTTCAAAGTCTCTAACAATGAAGCCGAATACGAGGCCCTCCTCTGTGGCCTTCGGCTGGCAGCTAACATGAAGGCCCGACAAATTCACGTCAAGTGCGACTCCAAGTTAGTCATCGGCCAAATCTCCGGGGAGTACGAAGCCAAGGAAGGGAGAATGAAGCAATACAAGGAGGCGGCCAAGGAGTTGCTTAAGGTATTCGAGGCACACTCTCTTACTCAAATACCGATGGCTCAAAACTCCGAGACCGACATTTTATCAAAGCTCTCGGCAGAATCCCCTGAGCATATCTCGAAGATTGCCAAAGTAGAAGAGTTGAGCCTCTCTAGCATACATGCTAGCCCCGTCATGAACATACAACAAAGGCAGGGTGACTGGATCTCAGACATTGTCGCCTTCATCACCACAGGGCAACTGCTCCGGGATGAGGCCCGCGCTAAGCTAGCAAAGCTGAGGGCTCCCAGCTACGTTATCGAAGACGGGAGGCTTTACAAAAGATCCTACAACGGGACATTACTTCGGTGCCTTCATCAAGATGAAGCCGAAGTGGCGATGGAGGAAGTGCACAGTGGCACTTGTTCAGCTCACCAGGGACCCTTCTCCATGTCCCGAAGGCTAATAATCCAGGGCTACTTCTGGCCCACAATGGCCCGAGATTGTGCAGATCTTGCCCGAAGGTGCTCCGCATGCCAACACTTCCAGAAAGCCCCCGGCATGCCAGCGGTCAACTATGCCCCCATCAGCACATCCATACCCTTCGCTCGATGGGGCATAGACCTTGTGGGCCCTTTGCCGAGGGGTACCTCCAACAACAGGTACATCATTGTCGCCATCGATTACTTCACCAAATGGGTGGAAGCTGAGCCCCTCGCCAGCATTACTGAGGCCAGGTGCCGTCATTTTGTTCTCAAAAACATCCTCACAAGGTTTGGCGTCCCCCAGCAAATCATCTCCGACAACGGGACTCAGTTCGAGGCAGCCCTCTTCTGTGCCCTCCTAGAGGCATGGGGCATCAAACACACCTTCTCATCCGTTGCCTACCCCCAGGGCAACGGTCAGGTGGAAAACGCCAACAGGACCTTGCTCGAGGGCCTAAAGAAGAAACTGGAGGCCGAAGGAGGTGGTTGGGTAGAAGAGCTCCACAACATCTTATGGGCCTACCGTACCACCCCTCGGCGGGCAACTGGCGAGACACCCTTCTCCCTTTGCTACGGATTTGAAGCTAAGGCCCCCACTGAGGTAACTCTTCCAACCCGAAGGGTCACACAGTATGATCCAGAGGCCAATGACGCCAATATGGCCCTCGACCTCCACCTTATTTCAGAACGCCGAGAGCAAGCCTTCATACGCGCAGAAAACTACCGAAGGCAAGTGAAGAGTTACATTGACGCCAAGGTCCGCTCCCGGGAATTCCAAGTGGGGGATTATGTCCTCCGAAGAAGGGAAGCCAGCCAACCAACCGAGGGCGGGAAGATGGCGCCAAAGTTCGAGGGCCCCTACATCGTGGCGGCCATCATCAAACCAGGAACTTACAAACTAAAACGCCCTAATGGGACTGAGGTCCCTAGACACTGGAATGTACATCACTTAGTTAAATTTTATCAATAACATCAGAGCGGCCAAGCCCTCATAACTAGTGAATGTATTATTTTGCGGCCCAAGGCCTAAAAAATTTGAAGAAAGAAGGCATATTGAAGACACCAAGAACATGGAACAAGGCTCTTATGAGTGGCCAAGCCCTCATACCGCCCCCTGGCCCAAGGCCTTACCACAAGGAAGAACCCTCGGCACCAAGTGCCGAGGGTAGACAATACTATCGCCTACAACAGCGAGAAAGCACCAACTGTCCTCAATGGAGACCCCTCGGCACCCAATACCGGGTGGACACACCACTGACAACTTTCAACAAATGGAAAGAAACACCAAGTGTTTTCACAGAAGACCCCTCGGTACCAAGTACCGGGGGGTGTACACCGAAACAAACACCAAGTGTTGTTTCTAAAGCCGTACCCCTCGAGGACGCCTATACCGAAGGCACCACCTCTCGGTGCCGGCAGCACGTAGTGCCCCCGGCCATTTGCAACCAGTGTGCAAATGAAAACCCTTCCCTGAAACGCTTTCCGCGTCATTACCCCAAGGGTATGACAGGCACGAAATATGCCCAGGATTCGACTTTCAAAAACGGAACGCTTTCCGCGCCATTTCCCCAAGGGATTGGCAGGCATCTAAAATGCCCAGGATTCGACTTCCAAATCGAAACGCTCCCCGCACCACTACCCCAAGGGTGTGGCAGGCCACGGACTATGTCTAGCGCCGAGGGGACGACTTTCAAAACTGAGGCGCTTTCCGTGCCATCCCCCAAGGGGAGGCAGGCTACAGACCACCATATCTTGTACCCAGGAAACGACCCTCGATCCCCTCGAAACCCGGAAGGTTAACCCGATGGGGGAGCTAATGGTGTATTCTGTTACCTCCCGATAGGCCAAGCCTTACCAAGAAACCAAGTTTCTTGAAGCCTTCCCTTCACTACAAAAAAAAAGGTGGTGAAGGGGAGTAGACTCAACGAGAAATCAATGAGTACACCATGCCAACAGATTCAAGAGGACACACCGAGGGCTCCCCTGCTGAACGCTTTCGGTACCTGGAAGCTCATAAGTACCAAGGATACCATTCACAACAGACGTCATCAACAAATAGCCAAGTCCACTCCATGATTGCCTCCGGCTATATCTAAACCGAAGGCTCAAATCCTACAAAACATGACAGGCTCAGCCAACAACAACTCAAAACGTCCCCGAAGGCTACTATATAACAAAGCTATCAGATGTTGGCCAAATCAAAGCAAGAATCACCTCCGGCACCTCACCACATGCCGAGGGGATACACCCAGACAATTCCCGAGGGAGTCTGCCTTTTTATGCTAGACTTGGATTACAAACTCTCCTATATCAACATTGGGGGGACATAATAAACAGTCGAAGCCTTCTGTTACCACAGGCCAACCTTGCAAGACAAAATAAACGGTTCTAGGCCCACAAAGTATACAGCTGAAGGGTCCCCTCCCGAAGGCCAACAGCAGGAAATATTTAGAGAGAATAATCTAAGTCCTAAATACTTTGCCCCCTGTGGAGCCACCAGTCAACCGAAGGCATGTCTGAGACAAAGCTCTCACACTTCACCCGAGGGCTCCTACCTCGTACAACTACACTTAGAAAAATTTTCTAAGTCCTAAATATTTTTGACCCTCGGTCAAATCTCCATGCAGCCAGAGGGGCCATACGGTTGAAGACTTGGTGGAGCTACACTTAGAAAAAATTTCTAAGTCCTAAACATTTTGAGCCCTCGGTTATATACCCACGCAGCGAAGGGTACCCACGCACCGAAGGCTAGACAATATCCAAACACTTAGGAAAATTTTCTAAGTCCTAAGCACCTTGCCTCCGGTTATCTCATGAAGGCTACACAGAACCGGAGGGAAGGAATTAGCCGGGGGCCAACAGATGAACAACACTTAGAAAAAATTCTAAGTCCTAAACATTGGGCCCTCGAAAAATTGTTCAGATGACTAAATAGGCCCAGTAGCCGAGGGCTACAGGAGACACTATACTTAGAGAAATATCTTCTAAGTCCTAAACATGCATCCATACACAGAGAAAAGACGAAGGCATACATACAGAAAGGGTGAAGGCATACATTCAAAAAAACGAGGGCATGCATTCAAAGAAAAACAATCGAAGGAAACGAATTATATGCAAAAACCCGAAGGTGGGTATCCATTCATACAAAGGAAGAAGTTAAAATGTATATTACAAATGGCTGAAGCCGAGAGCATACAAATATTTGTTACAACAAGATTGTTCAGAATTTTCTAAGTACTACATAATGACAACATCATCAGTTGCAGCAGCATCGCCTCCGTCGGCAGGCTTCGATGTAGCATCCCCCGCAGCATCCTCTTCCTCATCACTACACTCCGCCATCAGGACGGTGTCCTCGAGATCTGGCCTGCTAGTACCCTCGGGGAGGGGAACTCTTGTGTCTGGCTGAAGAGGGGGGAGCCCGTAAGCCGCGGGGTCAAATGCTGACGGGTCCGCTCCCAGGTGCCTGGCCAGCCTCCGGTAGATGAGGGATTGAGTGAAGTACTCACCCCCATCATTGTATTCTTTCCCCTTCTGGGCCAGCCACATTGCCCCGGGGCCCCTTACCCATTCCTCCACGGAGGCCTCAACAACCGCAGCCACCCACGCTTTCTGGGCCTCGGCTTTCCATCCCTCGGCGACGAAGGCTGCCACCGCTTCCCCCACCGCCTCCTTCTTGGCGATCTCGGCGTCTTCAGCAGCCTTCTTGGCGGCCTCAGCGGCTGCCTTCTCAGCTTCAGCCCTCCCCTCGGCTTTTGCCAGCACCTTGGCATTCTCAAGGAGTTTCTCGAAGGCCGCCCTCTCGACCCTGGAAGCCTCCTCTGCCTCCCGGAGCCGCCTTTGGACCACAGCCAAGGACTCGTCATCCTTCTGCTTCTGAAGGGCATAGCGTTCCATCCGCTGGATGAGCTCACCGAGGTCGAGGCTTGCCTGAAAAAGGGATCACGAATCACCGAAGGATAAAACCACAATGCAAAAGAAAAAAAAAAGAGAACAAAAAAAAGGAGAGAAGGAAAGGGGAACTTACAGTAACCGAAGCCTGAAGGATCTTGGAACAGAGGGCGTCATCGGTTTGCCGAGAGAGCACAGATTTATCCGTCGGGGGGTGGCCCCCCTCAAGAACTCCCTCGGGTTCAATGTTGCGTGCATAATGGCAGTCCCCTTAGTAAGGGAGAACTGCACATTATCTTGGGGCCATGCCAGTCCGGGGGCTTGGGTCGGAGGCTCGGAGGAGGAACGCTCCTCCACAATAACAACCAGGGCCTCTTTCGGCTCGGGGCCCCCCTTTTTCTGCTTCTTCCCCTCCGGGGGCACCACGGCCTTCCCGGCCCGTTTCCTTTTCAACGCCTCAGCAGGGGAGCCCTCGGCGTTGGAACCAGCGTCGTCGCCGGTGACAGCTTTCTCATTGGGCACGCTCTCCTTGGCCCCGTCATTTGTACCCGCCCTCGGGAAGATCTCGTCCAACCCCCTCTGTTGCACCGAGGGGTCCTTCTTTTTGTTCTCCTTTGCAAGTTGCTTCTTCAACTTGGAGAGATTCCGGGCGTCCATGTCTGGTCCTGAAAAGCAAAAGAAATACAGAAGGGTTAGGAGGATAATACCACAAAAAAAGAAAAAAATATATTCTAAGTACAAAATGGGAGCCCTCGACAAGCTGACTCCTCTGGCACTTTGATAAACTCTATCGACAGAGGGATATCTCTCGTCGCTTTCCCCCATCAACCGATACCGCTGAAAGCCCAGGTTGTAAAGATCGTCTGGAAGGGTAGCATCCCTGATCTTGGTATGCTTATCAGACCCCTCGGGCTTCTTGGAGAGCTTCCTTCCCTTTTTCTCCAAGGCGGCGCTCCCTACCTTGACGTGCCTGCGGAAGCTATCACGAAGTGGGGCCGGGAAGGGATGCTCCGCCATCCGAATGTAGCAGAACTTATCTTTCCATCCCTTGTGGGACGAAGGGACATCATCAAAGAGCCTGAATTCTGGGAGCTGCTGCAGGTTGGCAAAGCCCCCAGCATTCGAGTCTCCCCCCCCCCCCCCCCCCCGGCACAGGTTGAAAGAAAGGAAGAATTGGTCCAGCGAAGGCTCCACATCCCGGCTCCGGCAGAGGGAAAGAAAGCCAGCCAAGTAGGAGTGGATGTTCGGGGTCAATTGGCAGGGAGCAAGCTTGACATACCGAAGGTACTCCACCACGAAGGGATGGAGGGGGAATCCGATACCCAACTCCACCGAAAGCAGATGCACGGCAAAACAACCGGCGGGAGCGTATAGCAAAACATCATCCGGCCCCGGCTCCACTACCAGTGCTGAGGGCCCTACCAAGAGCTGTGTCGCCATGTATTCTCCCCGTGTGGCTCGGGTCTTCACGTCCAAGGCAGCAGTGTTCAGGTAGGAGTAGCCTTCGGGAATTCCTACTGGTTGCCTGGCGTCGACGGCAGCTTGTTTTTTCTTCCCGGCGGCCTTTGCCTTTCTCTTCCTCCCAGGGGCAACACTGATGGGCGTCGGGTTTAGTGGCTGAGAGCTTCCGGCCTCTGCATTCCGAGGGGGAGGAACAGCGACGGTGACCCTCATGCTTTCCTTTTGGGCCTCATCCTCAGCCACTTGAAAGGCAAGTGCCAGCTCCTCGTCCTCGCACACCTGCTCGAACTCCTCCGCTTCCAATTCTAGCCGAAGGCTTGCTTGTACCTCCTCAGCCACCACAGAGTCCTGGTTGACCGAGGCGCGTTCGCTCGAGGACTCCGCTTCAGAGAAGCTTTCGACTCCTACCGGAGGATCCCTCGAGACGTTCTGAGAGTCACTTTGCGAAGACATCCTCAACAGCTAAGGGATGAGGGGTTTCTAAGGCAGGAGGTTTCCTAAGGCAGTTAAACACTTAACCTAAGGCCACACAACTACGACTTACTAATGCTACAACAGATGGGCGGAGAACTGACCTCGGAAGATTGGTTGATCGAAGGCAGCTGTTTCTCTCTCTAGGAATTTTGGCAGAGCTCCGCTAACACAAATATCGCACAAGGGGGAAAGTGGCCTGGCCTTGGGGTATTTATAGGCATCTGGATCCGGGCTTGGGCCTGGAAACCGGGCCTCCGGTTGAACAGCCATCATTACGAACCGTCGAACTGCCCAATCAGTGACGCCCGCCCACAGGCAGCCAACGAGCACGCACCACGTGGAAGCCCCCCCCCCCCCCCCCAACGGCTATATTTTGACGTGAGGTATTCCAACGGCTATATTACAACGGCTATATTCTGGGAGCTCTCGGCTGTATTTAGCAGATCACTCCTTCATCAACCAGGAAACTAGCCCCCGGGCTTTTTACTTCACTCCATTTCATCAAGAGGAGCCCCCGGGTGCACTTACCCAGAGATGCCCCCGGTTTGTGCCCTCACACTACATAACTAATGCCTTCGGTCTCACTCCTCCAGAAGCCCGCGGCTCCATAACAGGTACACCCCTCGGTGATTCCCCCCTCAGCACTTTAAGGACCAGGTAGCCCCTGGGGAGTACACCTCATTGACGGATAGCCTACGGCGCACAGGTAACGGGAGCCCCCGGCTGCCCCTCTCACAAACTGATCACCTAACAGAGGACCCCCCCGGTAACACTTCAACTACATTCATCACGCCCTCGATCCCCAGATTGAGGGACTCCCCTTCGGCACCTCCCAGGATATCAACAGCAAGCCTCCGGCTAATCAACACACGCGCCCTCAGAACAAGGATAGCCTTCGGCATCAGCATTGTACTCCATTTCGAACCAGGGCTTCACATTTTCGATTCATCGTTGGGGGAATTCGGTGCACTCTTTTTCCCTCGTTAGGATTTTTCCTACAGGGTTTTTAATAACGAGGTTTTTAACGAGGCATCCCCCCAAAATGAAACGAAAAGCGTCACCCCTCGGTTTCATATTGCAGACAAGCACTACTCTACTCCTTTTCACCACTTTGCAAGTGCCTCAAGGAGTGGGGACTGAAGAACCCCCCTCAGGAAAAATCACAAAAAGTGCAAAATGCTAAAAACTCCCGCAAACAGCAAACATGCCCCCTCAAGTCCCGACATGTGGGTAACTGAGGGACTGCCCTCGGCAGAATAAACAAACAGCAAACTACCCACAACTCTACAAACTACAACGGAACAACGGCAGAGGACAAACACAATTACTCCTTTTCCCTCAAGTACCTTTCGGCAAAAGAATTGAGGGACTCCTGATGGAGTATATGACCCGGGAACCCCCGGTCCACAGACTCCTACTACTCCAATAAAGGCCCAATAGGCCCAGGAAGCACAACAGGCCCAAATCATAGCGTCCAGAGTACCAAGCGGCCCACAGTGAGCGCTAGGGGTGCCTTCGGCCCCCTGGCCGAAGGCTCGAATTCTCACAGGAGGGTCAGAACAGGAAAACAAAGTTACTGGGAGAAAACGGCGAAAATCAGTAGCCCTCGGCACCTGGAGCCCTCGGCACTAAGGAGGTCCCCGGTGATCAGAGCCCTCGGCTAGTCATTTACAGCCAAGGGCACCTTTCCGACATAATATCCGCTCCACATGCGTATGAATCACCGTACCAAGTACGACGTCACATCCAACAGCCGCATTAAATGCGGCCACATGCGAGTGGCAACGCCAACCAGTTGAGGTGACCCCTCGGCCAATGGATGCTTGACACGTGTCCCTGTCTGGCATTTATTGCTACTATAAATAGCACCCCATTTCATTATTTGTGGAGAAAGAAGCAAATACGGTGAATACATTTTCTAATATACTCTCTACTTACTTGCTCTGACTTCTCTCTAGTTATTCCCCGTAATAACCCCTCGAATAAGCTACCCCCCGGGTACACTATCCATCATATATATATATACACACACACATACACACACACACAAATGTTCAGGTCCGGAATTCCGGACTAGAACCCCGTCCGGACGACGCCATTTGGGAAGGTTCCCGGTTGACTTTTTTGATGAAATTTTTATGGCATGTTCTTCATCAAGTCTAGTTTATCCACAAAAAAATTACCAAAAAACTCAATCAAGAAGGTCGTGAAATAATTTTTGGAAGTTAAATGCTTTTTATATGTATTTTCCGGCGGAGTTAACATCCAAAAATTATTTGACTGCCTTCGAGATTGAATTTTATGCTAAATTGTTTTGTGGATAAACTAGACTTGATGAAGAACATGCCATAAAAATTTTATCAAAAAATTTCACCAAGAAGGCAGCCAAACGCCACCATCCGAACGGCGCTTCCGAAGTTCCGATCAGGAATTCCTAACCGGAACACTACTCTGTGTGTGTGTGTAGAGAGAGAGAGAAGTGCTCTTGTCCAGTTGTCCAACAGTTCAGACAGGAGCCGCCGTCTGAACAACACCTTTTGGGATGATTCCCGGTGAATTTTTTTGATAATGTTTCTCATGAAATCTAATTTATCTACAAAAAATTTCAGCTCAAAATTCGATTGATAAAGCAGTCAAATAAACTTTTGAAGTTGACTGCACCAAAATTGGCAGTTCAATTTAAATCACAAAATCACGATTATAAGCGATATTTAACAATTTTAAAACGATTTCATAGGAATTTTACAAAATCTGATTTTACAAACGACTCAAATTGATTGTATGAATACAAAATTTAAAATCGTACGATTCTAATTGCTATGTAGACGATTAGACTATAACGAATGATTGCACTTGTACCAATAAGACGAGTCACTTTGTCATATAAATGTACCAAAAGAAAACCATCATAATAAGTCGCCTAAATGTACGTACATTGAATACGTAATGTTCAGGTAACCATCAGAATGTACATTTAAATAGAGTGAGATAAGCCGCTTTAACATTTAAATTTACAAAAGAAAAGCAGCCTGCAAATAAATGAGGCCAGCTGCTCGAGATTTTAATAGTAACCATCAGAATGTACATTTAAATGAAATGAAAGATAAGTCGCTTTTCCTGGAGCAGGGGTCAATTAGCCAATACCCTTGGATAACTTCAGCAAAAAGTAAGCAACAAAATTAAATGGCCCCTGTTCCTAAAGTATCTGTTTCTATGGAGGGTGTTGACGGTCTCAGTCTATATCTGCATATACGTTTAACATTTTATAAAAAATTAAAAGATTTAACATTACATGATCATGTAACAATCAATCACTTCGAATATGTTTTAAAAGTCATGTTATTTATTTATCAAGATGTAGACTAAGCACTTTAAAACCTTCCCGTCCAAAACCTAACGAGCAAGTCCAAACCAAAAAGCTAAAAAAACTTCGTATCCTACCTTCAGAATATCAGCAGCATTCTTGAACACCTACTGATTTGCTGATAATAGACAAAACTTTTCCCTTCAATATTTCGATTCGCTGCATTACAACATATAAATGAATACAAGACTGATACAAAAGACACAATGCAAGCACATGAAAAGGAGAAAAACAAAACATACCGAGCTAGATTTCTTAACCCAGTCCTGGAGAAAAGCTATGGAGCAATTTAAATGAGAGCAGTGTGGGTGATCATAATTTAAGTGATAGGTTGAATTTTCTGTCCCCTCAGCCACCCAGATATTGTTTGTTCCATCTTTATCTTTCTTAGTGAGATTCAAGAAACACACCTATAAAGACAAATCCAGAACTCTGAAAATCTAAGTACAAAGAAAGACATTTCCTGACTAAATGTGCCCATCAAATATTACCAAGTTTAGCAAACACGTACCACTGATCCAACAAGATTACAAAGTTCATTTTCGGTGTTTGCTAAAGTAAAGCTAATTGCCAACAATGAAGTATCCAACGCAGTTCTCGATCCATCAGTTACAAACACCCATTGTTTCTTTTGATGAGCCACTGTATACAGCTCTCCAACGTAAATGACCAGTGCAGCAATATCAATTTCTCTGCCAAACAAACCCATACAATAAAATCAAATGCAAAATTGTTTCTTACGTCTTCAAATTTACACTGCAGTGTTTGGATCACAAAAACTGTTGGGGAAAAGAAAGAAAATGACAACAAAAGTCAATTACTTATGCTTGGATTTACCTTAATAATGCAATGGAAATTAAAATGCTATTAGTTTTGAATTTGTTTTTTGCATATATTTAGATATTAATTTTTTCAAGTTGAAATAAATAAATCATCATCATTACCCCAGTGCCGCAAAGGCTCCCACACCTACGGTGGGGTAAGGGGGGACGGATGTACGCAACCTTATCATTAAAGCACAAAAAGATTGTTTCTGGATGACCCATAGTGAAAATCGCGACGAAAATTGTATGAACCGACTGCTACTTCATAACAAAGAAGCGCTGACAGTTTAGTGAGTATTTTGCTTTATTCCATCATATTCCAAAACCAAAAAATAGTGGATCTTGAGAAAGTATCTACAATAAATTTATTGAGTTTGAGCACAGCTTTTATTATCCCCAAATTTTATTTCCAATTTGAATCCTTATTTTTCCTCCACTTTCCTACATTCCAAACAGACCCTAAAGCAAATATCAAAGCATTATACCCTCACCGTGATTCAGGAACTTCACCTAAGCTAGACAATGAGATTGATCTTCGGGGCATGAAAAATGGCCTGCAAAAGCCCTTTTTACAATTCAGGGACGTTCTGGAGATGAAGAGACAAAGGTTTAGTGAGCTAAGCTTACTGAAAATGTTGAATCCCAGAGGTAGATAAAGGTTTCCATTTTGATGTAGATCCTTTTGCATGCAAATAAAGGGTGCTTGAATTGGAGCTTTGTGCCATAAGCCCTGAAACTTCGTAAGCTTGCCCCTCAGAGAGTTCCACTTGCTGGGAAAATCAATGAGTAAAATATGTGATGGAAAATTGATATGAATACTTTTTATGGTAAAAGGCTTAAATTAAAATGTGGAGAATGAGTGAGCATACATAATGAGATGAGAGATACCCCGAACTGATCAAAAGCACTAGGATTAAAAATAAAGGCAATCACCAACAATAGAGCAGACTTGTTAAACACGAAACAGGACGCAGTTGGTCTATGGCCCTATAGTGATCAAATTAACATCTCTATCACCAAACTCAACTCGAACCTGGACCCTCACTACTACCTCAACTAAAAACAACTCAAAGTCAAGCACAGACTCCAAAAACAAAACAGAAACAATGGTGCAAACTAAAATAGAATATAAGAGAAAAACTAAACAACAACAACAACATCCAAGCCTTAGTCCCAAAAGATATTGGGGTCGGCTAACATGAATCGATACATGATATCACCACCAAAAGGAAAAGAAAGAAAATAAAGATAAAAAAGATAAGCTATTATAAAAAGATAATATAAAAAGAGGTGAATATACATAAAAATGATAAAATAAAAAGGATACAAATAATGTTTATATATATAAGGATAAAAAACAAGGGAAAAAAAGATGAGGGGAAAAGATGATACGAGATATGAGTGAAAACGTTTGGGAATTCCAAAATATGAGTGCTATATTTTTCTTTCCAAAATAGGAATACGGTATTGCAATACTGAAAATTTACTGCCATGTTTTGGCATTACAGGGCTTTAAACATGGCAGAACACTGCCATAAGAGGTAGTCATAGTTGTCATGGCGCATGGCGCAACCCATGGCGCACAGGCCATTTTCCATGGCGATGGCGATGGCGCAAATATGGCGTCGCCACGTGACAAAAAACATAATATTCAAAATAGATACTGCAATTCATCAACCCAAGTTTACCCAACCACCAAAACATGATAAAATAGTTCAAAGTACTTCCAAAAAACATAATATTCAAAAAAAAGTTTCTGTCTTGCAAAAATAGTAGTTAGGGTTTATGTTAGTTGTGTTTATTTATTTGTAGTTAGGGTTGTTGTTAGTATTATGAGCTAAAATAGTAAGGTTTTGTTAGTGTTTTTTTGTTAGGGTTTATGTGTGTGTGTATATATATATATATATAAAACAATATATTTATATTTATAACTATATATATAATTCTATATTGTATATAACTTAGTATTGAAACTCACAATTAATGAAAAAAATTGAAAAAGAAACTCACAATTAATAATTGAAAACAAGGTTTATTAATGAGAATTAAAATTAAAAAACTAATCAAAACAAAATGTGAAGTATATCATAGAAGGTTATTTTAAAATAGAAGTATCACAGTTAAAACGCACACACAAAAACAAAGTTACAACAACAAAATTATAAATACACAACTTAATTAATTACAATTTAAAATAAAATAAAAACTGAAGCCAAAGATCAAGGACCTGGGAACTGGGAAGTCTGCAAGTTCCTCTGCTGCTCTGATTCCGCGAGGGACTGAGGGAGGGCGACTATGTGAGCTCGTCTTAGTTGTTTGCTTCCTACGTGCAACTTGGGGCAAAGAATGGTCCGTAAGGTAGATTAGTTTGGGCTTAGCTTTTAATTTAAAGCCTGAAACCTTAATTAAATTAGCCCTAATTAAGGCCTAAATCTATTTTATCTGGTTCTGGGCCTGCCACTGCGGTTCGACTTGTGAATAAGTAGAGGATTTCTTCGCCAACATCGAGCCTAGACGACCACTGGACGACGCAAACGCCATGGCGATGGTGCTCAAATGGCGAAGGCGCAGGAATGGCGACGCCGTGTGTATACACCTCGCCACAGCCCCTTTTCATAGCGCAGAGGGTTTTTCGCGCCACATGGCGCATGGCGCGCGCGCCATATTGCGCTATCGACTACCATGGAGGTAGTACTTCCAGGCTTGGAAGTAATTATTCGTATTTAGGGTATAAAAACATAGCATTCATATTATGGAATTTCAAACGTTTTTACTCCTATTTAGGGCAATTTCTTATAATCGAACGATACGGAAACCAAACAGATGTGAATACTTGTTAACAGGAAATATTATATTTCCAATGATAACATGAAAGATAAGAAGTTCATTCTTTGAACTCTTGAAGCAACCTGCTTTTCAGTCGGATTCCAGATGGTAATTAAGCCTTCTCTTGGGGAATTCCTTTGTTGACTACTTTTGCGGATTAACCCAACAACTCTAACTCGCATAAATGGAGTGACATCCCTTGTTGTTCTGAGACCAGCAGCCTCCAGAGCTGTGTCAAGAGATCTTTGTATATGATACTGTTTCTTGGCCTGCCAACAAAAATCACACCCTAAGCAACAAACATCCATCTCACAATAGAGCAACAAGCAGTCGAATAAAAAGTAATAACTCACCTCTAATTTAGCTTGATAAGAAGAAAACGAGTTAAGCTGCTCTAAACTCATTTCTGCCATAAGAATATCAGGTTCAGCTGCTGTCTCAAGTATCTTTAAGAGTTTGGCTCCTTCTTCACTTTCATAATCATTACCAATAATGATATCTATACTTTCCTTTTGAAACTCAGCAGCTACTCCCTCCGCAACATCACACCTTCTACTCCATTAAAGAAATGATTCTTATATCAATGCAAATTTCACACATAACATATTCCGTATAAGATAACCTCTGAAGGGGAACCTTGGTGCACCGGTTAAGGTGTTAGTGTGCCATTATGTGATCAAGAGGTCACGAGTTAAAGTCTTTGGAGCGGCCTCTTGTCAAAAATTGACAAGAGAAGGCGTGCCTCCTATACACCATAGTGGTGGACCCTTCCCCGGACCTCACCTTGCGGAGACACCAATGTGCACCTGGCTGCCCTTAACATAAAAGATACTCCCTCCTCAATCTTATGAAAAAGTCCTCTTTCAATAACTTATTTTGTCCCCCCAAACAAAGGTAATGTTCCGGGAACTCTTTTTGCTCCCAAAAATAGTCTGTTTTAACCTTTACTTTTAAGTACAATTCCTGTAAAGCCAAATGGGAAGGGCTTTACCCAAGTACTCCAAACAATCTTGGCAATTAGTACTAGTGGTATAAATGACCGTTCATAACTTTTCAATGCATATAGCTTGATTAAGTTGACTAAAAATAAAAGTGCACCTCACTCGAAAAGACTCTTTTCGGTGAAAGAGGGAGTATATTTTAGTAACCAGAAAGTAGAGAATTTTCCCATAATAGGAGTAAAAACAATGTTAAATTTCAAAATAGGAGTAATTTGCTTTTCCCCTAAATATGAGTAAATTACCGCCTTCCCGAAATCATATTGTAATATTTCAGCATTGCAATGCACTAATATAGCAGTATTAATGTCACAATTGGCAGTATTTTTCAAGCATAACACTAAGTCAGTAATTACTCCTGCTTAGGGGAAAAAACATTACTCCGGTTTTGGAATTTCAAAATGTTTTTACTCCTATGTAGGACAATCTCTGTGAAAAGTAATCTTTTTCTCATTTTATTTTGCAGCATACATGCGAGCACTACAATTTTGCTTGCAGGTGAGCACTGAAACTCCCCGCAAGGAAGTTTCAAACAAGGCTGGTGCAAATGAGCATTATGATTTTGCTCACAAAAAATTTCTGCAGCCAAGATAAAAGTGGAGCTCAAGAAAGGCACATGATTAATAATCAATACAGAATCTCAAAAATAAAAACCATATATTAGTATAATATGCAATGCATGTATCATGTCCCGCAAAAAATAAAGCAAACTCTATATACCTTTGGTTATATTGTTCTATTGCTTTAGCTTCCATTCTTTCATTCCTCACCATGTATCCTCCATTACTTAATCTACGTAATCACAAGCATTAGTCAAGCTCTGTGCCATACACGAAAGTGTACCACAGCATGAAAGAATGCAGAGCTACCTTTCTCTGAACAGAACGGGGTAAATCTTTGTAACACCAACCAGTGTGATAGGGACAGCACCTCCTGCACCTTTGATGGAATTAAATGCTAAAGGAACACCTATATCCTTGCCTGTGATGAGATAGTGACTTTTCAGTAGATGAAAAATATTGCTCTTAAAGTTGCAGGGGTAATAGTACTATGTATCATAGTGAATGATTAATTGCTTACAAAATCCTAAGCGGTCTGCCCAATGTGCTCTGTACGTCCCATTTATATGCAATGTTAAGCTAGATTCTTTTGAGGCCTGAAGTTAAAGAGAACGCCAAGTGTAAGAAATTCTAAATAAATAATAAAAAAAATAATTGAACAACCCAATTGGATCAAACTTCAAGAAGTGAAAACCTCAAGAGGTGAAACAGGCCCCGCCCAGCCACATAGGCCAGCTCCCCAGATCTTTCGATTACAAATTTGCAATATTGTAAGCAAAGTAAAACATCAGAAATGCTAGCATGTGTGCATAAACAATTTGTATATACAATAAAGAACAGAGTGTATGTGATACCCTGAGTTTTTGGCCTAAAAACAGTTTTTTGGCAGCTAACTTTTTCGAGAGCTCTCCATCTAAAACAGCAGTAATTGAATACCTGTTACAGGAAAACATGAGCATTCGAGCAGTGAAGAACATCATACCAAAAGATAGCACCTCACATACCACCCATCAGTTAGCTCTATTTTTGAAGTAGAGTTTATATTAATCCCTGTTGATGAAATAGGTAGATCTTGATGTCTATTTTTGGTGCCATAGACTGGACCAATGGAAGAAATGCACAACACCATCATCAATGAAGATGGCGCATCACCTTCTAGAACTCTTTTGATTGCAGATCGATGGCCATAATGTACTTCCCTCTCATATCTGCACGAAAGGAAAATGAACAAACAATTACTTACACCTGGAAGTCATAGGATATAGACATCCCAAATGTTAATAATGAATACCTATACTTCAACTCTTCCAGCACATTAGAGACTGTCAGAAGTTTTCCAGAAAATTTGGCAGGAAAGCATCTTTCATAAGATGCGAGTTTCCAAACAATCCACTTGTAGTGATTTGCAACCCACCTACAGGAATATAGGAGGCAAAGTAGCTACTAGTAAAATATTTGGACGAAAAATTAACAAGATACATTTTGCCAATTAGTGTCTTATTTTCCTATCTATGGAGATGTAAGGCTCGGATGTTGTTGCTGTTTGTGAAAGCATTATTGTATCTAGGAATATGCTTTAGGAATATGCTCTAGAATATGCTTTAGGAATATACTCTAGACATTATTATTGTATAGCATCTTATATAGGAATATTCCATCTTTGTAATATATATATAGGGCCTTAACCCTCTAATGAAATACACAGAAAATCCTTCTCTCCATTTTAATATCATTTCAGTTTCTATTTCAACATGGTATCAGAGACATCCATTTGAGTTTATTTTTCAGATTTCATTTTAGTTTTCAGACTCAGTTCTTTCTCCCAGAACCTGAGTTCAGTTCAGAACCTCTAGGTACTATTCTGTCTCCCAGAAACTCAGTGCAGCACAGAACCTCTCTACACACCATCACCATTAAACAGAACCTCTATTCAGACCCTTAGTTCAAGCAAATTCAGAATCTCAGTATCACGCAAACTACATCATTCAGAATCTGCCAGGTCCGACCATCTTCCCGGCGGATTTCTGACAAGACCATCCCTGCCGTCTCTGACCAGGGTTTGAAGTTCGCAACTCCAAATCGACGCCCATCAGCCACACGGCCTTTGGAAGCACTCACTACATCCGCAGTGATACTTCTTTTCTGGTTTTCTTCTCTCGCTCTTTCTCAAGGGAGGGAATCCGACGGATATTTGTGTGGGCTGGAGGAAATTTGTTGGTCGGTAGCATCTCGTTAGCGCATCTGATTGTTGAAGAATGGATATCTGTTAGCACATGTGTTTTCTTCCCAAGTAAAAGACGAAGCTTGGAGAGTCCGTAGGAGTAAGGCCCAGTTGATTGCTTATTAACATTTTCAGCCCACAAATGAGAAGGCTGCTGTAAGTTTCCACCGCTATCTCTAAGGGGTATAGATGTTTTTGTCCGAGTACTGGTCGGTATCTTGTTTCTATTGATGCATCATTTCATGAAAATACACCTTTTTCATCATCCAAGGCAGATATTCGTGAGAGTAATGATGATATTCTCATTTACACGATGACTATTCCCGAGTCCACACTTTCGACAAATATTCCACAAGTTACTGTTCATGACCCTAGGCCTCCCGTACATTTGGTATACACCCGTCGACACAAAGCACCTGATCACCCTCCACCGGCGATACCTGTGATTACTTTTCCTGATACTAGTTCGACTCCGATCTCATGTCCTGAACCAGTATCTGCATCTTCAGATCTTGATTCCACATCAGATCTTGATCTCCCAATAGCAGTACGTAAAGGTACACGGTCTTGTACTCATCCTATTTCTTCATTTGTGTCGTACAATCAGTTATCTCCTGCTTCATGTTCTTTTATTGCTTCCATTGATTCTATTTCTATTCCCAAATCTGTCAAAGAAGCTTTGTCTCATCCTGAATGGCGTCAAGCCATGGTAGAGGAAATGAATGCTTTAGATCTTAATGGTACATGGGATTTGGTTGACTTACCTACAGGGAAGAAATCTATTGGATGTAAGTGGGTCTTTGCTGTTAAGGTTAACCCAGACGGATCTGTTGCTCGGTTAAAAGCCCGATTAGTTGCGAAGGGTTATGCTCAAACCTATGGTGTTGATTATTCTGACACTTTTTCTCCTGTTGCTAAATTAACATCTGTCAGGTTACTTATCTCACTCGCTGCAATTCATGATTGGCACTTACATCAGTTGGACATTAAAAATGCATTTTTGCATGGTGACCTTAAGGAAGAAGTCTATATTGAGCAACCCCCGGGATTTGTTGCTCAGGGGGAGTATGGTAAAGTTTGTCGACTTCGCAAATCTCTTTATGGTCTGAAACAGAGTCCTCGTGCATGGTTTGGGAAATTCAGTCAATCAATTGAACAATTTGGAATGATAAAAGGCAAATCAGACCACTCTGTCTTTTACAAACAAACAGAATCAGGTGTCACATTGCTTGTGGTATATGTTGATGATATTGTGATTACAGGGAGTGATAATGCAGGTATTTTGGCCCTTAAGAATTTTCTGCATAGTCAATTCCAGACGAAAGATCTTGGCTCTTTGAAATACTTTCTGAGAATTGAGGTAACACGAAGTAAGAAAGGCATATTTCTATCTCAACGTAAATATGTACTTGACTTACTAGCTGAGACAAGGAAATTAGGGGCAAAACCAAGTACAACACCCATGGTTCCCAACGTGCAACTCACTCAAGAAGGCACACCGTTTGAAGACCCAGAAAGATATAGAAGACAGGTTGGAAAGCTTAATTATCTCGCAGTCACCCGTCCAGATATTGCTTATTCTGTGAGTGTAGTGAGTCAATACATGTCATCTCTGACCATTGATCATTGGGCTGCTGTAGAACACATATTATGTTACTTAAAGGGAGCACCAGGACGAGGTATTGTTTATCAAAACCATGATCACATGAGAATAGAATGCTTTGCAGATGCTGATTGGGCCGGTTCTAAAGATGATCGAAGATCTACATCTGGCTATTGTGTCTTTGTTGGTGGTAATCTTGTATCCTGGAAGAGTAAGAAACAGAATGTGGTTTCTCGTTCTACTGCTGAATCAGAATATCGAGCTATGGCACCATCCGCATGTGAGATAATATGGATACACCATTTATTGAATGAAATTGGATTGAAGACACCAATGCCTGCTCAGTTGTGGTGCGATAACCAAGCTGCTATACACATAGCAAACAACCCCGTATTTCACGAGAGAACAAAGCATATTGAGGTTGATTGCCATTTTATTCGAGAGAAGATACAAAAAGGATTAATCTCTACCGGGTATGTGAAGACTGGAGAACAACTTGGAGATATATTCACTAAAGCTCTAAATGGGATTCGAGTTGATTACTTATGTAACAAGTTGGGCATGATAAATATCTATGCTCCAACTTGAGGGGGAGTGTGAAAGCATTATGGTATCTAGGAATATGCTTTAGGAATATGCTCTAGAATATGCTTTAGGAATATACTCTAGACATTATTATTGTATAGCATCTTATATAGGAATATTCCATCTTTGTAATATATATATATAGGGCCTTAACCCTCTAATGAAATACACAGAAAATCCTTCTCTCCATTTTAATATCATTTCAGTTTCTATTTCAACACTGTTGTAGTGTCTTATGTTCATGTCTATAGATATGTAAACCCTGCAATGCAGTAGGATACAAATAAGCCAAAGCATTCCTGCAAGTATACTAAGAGCCCGTTTGGTGACCCTTTTTTTCGGCTTATCAAGCTTATCAACTAGCTTTTTCAACAAACACGTAACTTTTGATTTCGCGCGCTGAATTTTGTAATAAGAAGAAAAAGTAAGGTTGGAGTTACTTTTCTGGCTGTATTGGGTGAATTTACTGTAGAGGATCATTTTAGCTATTTTTCATATAATTTTTTATTTAATTTATTAATAACAAATATTTTAAATATAATTTTTTCATGAATAAGCAGAATCGGTCAATACAACCACTTCAGCCAGAACTTCATAAATTTCAGCAGAATCAACCAATTCAGCCAATTTTAATGTTACCAAACGGGCTCTAAGATGTAGAAACCTACATTTATGACAATTTGAAACAAATGCATGCAGATGAATTCATATTGTGCATTTGTGCACAATTATTTAAACAGCCCGCTCATGGAGAATGTGAACAGTTATTTTCCCTCCTAAATGAATGATCAAAAGCTAAAGTGGATTGTTCAGTGCAAAATTCAATTATTAAGCCCAGAAAAACAGTGCATGACATTACATTTTAGAAAAGTACTGATGTGAAGCTCCACAATGAGATAGCATTAGGAAAAAAGCATCTGCTCCCAGACTGGTAGAGCCATGTTCATCATGGAACATGTATGACTCAGCTGTTTCTGGATTCATTCTTCTCACCTGATCTCCAACATTTACTAGCTAGATTTATGAGAATGTGAAGTATTAGCAACATGAATAAATAGTACAATATAATTCTTTATTGAATAAGTATTAATGTTTTTTTAGGAAAAGTAAGTATTAGAGTTATTAGCACCTTGCTTTGGAATCTTGGGGGTTCTCCAAGGTATTCCTCCATATACAAACGTGAAACCTTAAATGGGTACCAGTCTGAAACTCTTTCTTTAAATGTTGGTTCCTTTGGTGCTAAATTTGACAGCCCTAGTAGAGATGCATACAATTACATAAATAAGATCCATATAGCACGAGGATTGAGGAAATGTCCAGATTGTACTATGATCTACCGTTATGAATGACTGGCATATTCTTGTTCAGGGGTGGAGTAAATTTTTCTAAGCGAGGCCTCCTGAAAGGAGAAACAGAACAATTTCCAAGTCTTCTCTTCTCAGTAATCTTTTGTGTGCCATCTGGACGTCCAACAGCAGTAGTGTTTGAGATATCAGTTAGTACCCCAATTGATGATGTTTGAAGTGATGTTTGAGGTGCTGTGTGACTTGAACAGATATCTTTTTCATTATAACTTAAAGGCATCATATTGGGTTTCTGTTGTAAAAGGTTTTGACAACAATGAATAGCATTATATGACTGGTTTGCGCCATCATTTGCCACTGCATCAAAATGCTTGATTAAGTTGTTCGCTGGGTGGATATTATCAAGCTTCACGGTCAACTGCCTTTTCTGTAGAGTTGACTTCAGCGGAGATGTAAACCTGCCAGAATAACCTACACTGTGTGTTGACTGTTGATGTGATGGAGTACAAGACTGACTTTTAATAGTTGAATGGTTACAGTTGGACTTTCTTTCATCAGAAAATGAAAACACAGGAGAAGCTGAATCTTTATCCTCTATGGAACAGCTATCCTCTGGATCTCCAAGCAGTTTTTTTGCACGACTCAATGCACCATTAGAAACAGAAATTGATCTCCCACCAGCCGTTTGAAACTTAATCGGTTGTGGTTTAGGTGCAGAGTGAAAATAATCTGGAATATCCCCATCTGAAAATATTCTTACAAATTAACATTTATTTGTAAGGGGATAGTCAAGTTACTGAAGCGTCAGAAGATTTAATGATAGTTATACCAGTATTCTTTCGTAAAGGAAATGAACATTGCCATTCAAAAGGCTCATCATTATAATTTGACTGCTCGAAGTCTTGAAACCTCTCTGTTTCATTCAAGTTCAACAACTTTCTGGCTCTTACAAGCCCTGCTGGAGATATAGTGACTGCTTTACCAGACCCTGTTTGAAACATTGACAACGAAGTATTTACTGATTTGCCTGCACCATTTTGGAAAGCATGTTTATAATGATTGATTGCATTATCTGAGTCTGTGTTGGGCATGAAATTCAGAGAACCAGTCCCACTGTCTCTACCACTGCATTCTCCTGCAAGGAAAGCATGGTCTCAAAATTAACGTCATGTCTTGCATAACTAAAACAGTGCAGCTTTATAGCAAATACAGGAATGTGAGACGGCAAGATTTTCTTCAAATCTTCAATATCCTCAAGTTTCTTCTTATTAGGCATATATATGTTCTCATTTTTCAATTTTCAGGCACTTCAGCTTTCAGTGAGTCTGATGGTATTTTATACATTAAGATAAGCCAGCTGGAATTTCCTTGGAAGCTAGACATGCTGACTTTTTGAACTTAAAAGTTAACAATTTCCAGCCAATATTCTCGTTTATGAGAAAAAATGTAAAAATATGAATGAGAAAAATAAATAAATAAATAAATAAATAAATAAATAATGCTCCATATTCAGTAAAATTGCAGAAGAATTTTGGCATCAATACCAAATACTGCGGTGCCTCCATCCTGGACAACAGATGCTGCTTTGTCTAGAGAGGTCTGCTTCACTTCCATGGACTTCCCCAATTCTTCTCGGAAAGTGAAAGCCTTCTCTGAGACTAAAAAATTCCAAGTTAACTTTGAGCCTCGTGTATAAAGGACATAATACATGCGTAAGGAATCGGAACATGTGATTCATTTTGAACGGGTGGAGTTTAAAATGGCAGGAGTACCTTGACGGTGCAAGATATCAGACATTGAGGGAAGGCGCTGAGAGTCCGGAGGGGGCAGCGGAGCAAAGACACAGCTAGACGGCTTTTGGTGGGACAATTTCCACCGGAAGGTGTTCTCACCATCGGAAAGAATCTGCCACGTCGGCATTTCACGATAACGCCTAGGGTTCCGATTGTGCATTCACTGACGCTCGACAGGCTGACCATGGAGCGATGTTCTTTTCATTTTTCTGCGTTATGCTCCGTAGTGTTTTTTAGGCGGGACATTTCGAAGAGATCAAAAGGTCAAGCGCCATTCGAAGAGATCAAAAGGTCATCTTCTACTCCAAGCAGAAACAGAAGTTGGAGTATTTGGGTGAAAATGAAGAAGTGATTCTGGTGCTCTAATTTACTCCTAGAATCACTTTTTTTAGAAGTTGGGGGTACCAGCTTCTGAAAACTTATTCTGATTCTACTTCTGCTTTAAAAAAAGAAGCAGAAGCGGAATCAGTTCCAAACACTCCCTTATTCCTATTTTTTTATTTTTTAAGATTTGATCTCATTTGAATTTTTCTGGTTGGATTGGAATCTCTCTGATTTGATCGGATTTAGTATTTTGTATTATTATTATTATTTTATTATTATTATACGGAGTAATTATTATTATATTATTATTATTTTTTATTATTATTATACGGAGTAATTATTATTATACAGAGTAATTCATTTCATTTTCATTTACCCCAGTGCCGCAAAGGCTCCCCACCTACGGTGGGGTAACGGGGTCGGATGTACGCAGTCTTACCCAAGTACATAGAGACTGTTTCCGGATGACCCATAGTGAAAATCTCGTCCAAAATTGCATAGACTGATTGCTGCTGCATGGAAAATACAGAGTTATTATTATTATTATTATTATTATTATTATTATTAGCAGTAGCAGTAGCAGCAGCAGTAGCAGTAGCAGTAGCAGTAGTAGTAGTAGTAGTAGTAGTAGTAGTAGTAGTAGTAGTAGTAGTAGTTACTATGGTTGTTTTTACTTGGACTGTAATTTGTCTCAGACTAGACCAGACCAGACCAAAACAGACCAGACCAGATCAGACTAGACCAGACCAAAACAGACCATATTTTATTATTATTATTACTACTATTATTATTTGTCAGGTTTTCACCTCTCCAGCTTAGACCACGCTCAAACAGCACACAACCAAACACCACCGCAAGGGATAGTCACACTCAGGTCAGCCCAGCCATCTCAACGCACAACATAGGTTAGGAGGGGAAGCTTAGAGAGAAAGCACCACAGAAGAATCGAAGGAGAAGAGACAGAGTCTCTCTCGTTCTCTCTCTCGCCTCACTCTCTCTCTAACCGAAGGATCTCAATCACTCAAGTGCAAGCAGAGGAGCTCGAGTACCAAAGGGGTGCAAGGAACCATAATAGAGGGTTCTAGAAAAGGGGCTAGCGAGAAACATACATGGGTCGGAGTCTAGAGGCAAGTAAAAAGGCCCAACAAGACAAAGAGGGTTGCCATGGCTTTATGGGCCAATACCTCCACATTCTCCACTAGGGGTGGGCATTTCGGTTTTCGGTTCGGTTTTCTTCGGTTTCGGTTCGGTTTCGGTTTAATCGGTTTGATAGAAAATGTACCAAGTACAAACCGATTAAGTTTCGGTTTGGTTTCGGTTTGGTATGGTTCAGTTCAGTTTGGAGTTCGGTTTACCAAAGTATTAAGGTTTGGATTGCAAAAAAAAAACTCAAAATAATGAACCAAAAAGCGATAGTTATGAACCAAATATAATGTTAGATATAAATTTGCAAACAGTAACAAAACACATATGAACCAAAAATATATAAGCATGACACATTTGTAAGCAACAACAACAACGAGAATGAATCAAATTATATATAAAGCCGAAACAAAAACAAAACTAGTGCTTGTAAGTAATGAACCAAATATATAGTAGTAGTAGATAATAAATTATAGTTAAATACTATCTACTTAAACCACTCTAATTGTTATAATGGTAAATGTAACTCTTGTAGTAACTCTTGTCATGGACACTAAAATTAAAGAATTAAAGCTTCAAAAAGATTAACATCAATCAAATTAATGAGAGAAATCTTATATTTTGGTTTAGTTTGGTTTGGTGTAAGTTGGTTTTGATTTGTTATTTTAAAAAAATAAGAAATTATTTCATTTTTAGATTAGTTCGGTTTTATTCAGTTTTATTCGGGTTTTATATTTCGGTTCGGTTTGGTTCGGTTTAATACGGGTTGGGAGGAATACTACCAAACTCAAACCAAATTACAAATGGTTCGGTTTCGGTTCGGTGTAATTCGGTTTGGTACGGTTCGGTTCGGTCAAACCGAACTGTTATGCCCACCCCTATTCTCCACCTTATTGGCCATCATTGGTGGTGCAAGGTATCACAAAGTAACATGAGCATGTGGTTCATCATCGTTGGGTCACCAGTGATATCCTGAAGACATAACTGGCAAACAAATTGGAGATACACAAAATACTCCCAAAAGAAAATTGGAGAAGCACCCGAGGTACTCTCCTTAATCGTGAGAGCAGATTCTCTCAAGCACTGCGTTTTCAAGAATCTACTCTCCCAAATACCCCAAACCTGCAAACAGAGTTAACTGCAGTCCAAATTTAAAATTCGTTTACAAGACAACAACTTTTCAGCAGACAGACACTTCGTCCCCATATCTACAGGGTTGAACTCTGAGGGTATCTTGCACAGCTTCACCTTACCTGCATCTAAAACATCACGAATAAAGTGGAACCTCACATCAATGTGTTTGGTTCTATCATGAAAGACAGGGTTTTTGCAAAGCTGGATAGCAGACTGGCTATCAGTAAACACAATGACATCATGTTTAAGAAAACCTGTTTCAGTGACAAGACATCTCAACCAGATGACTTCCTTGAAGGCTTCTGTAGCTGCAACATACTCAGCTTCAGTGGTTGATAAGGCAACAATAGGTTGTAACTGAGATTTCCAACTAATACAAGAACCACACAAAGTGAACACATAGGAAGTGGTAGATTTCCTGTTGTCTTTATCAGTAGCATAGTTAGAATCAACATAGTCACTCAGTTTCACACCTTCAGTACACTTAGTAAAAATCAAACCATGATTTGCAGAAAATTTCAAGTATCTCAAAAGCCATTTCAAAGCATTCCAATGAGGCATACCAGGATTAGACATAAACCTACTCAAACAGCTCACAACATAAGCAATATCAAGTCTAGAACTAACCATCAGATACATCACAAAACCTATAGCATTAAGGAATAGACTTCATAAGCTCAATTTCAGAAGCAGTCTTAGGAGACTGATTCTTACTTAGCACAAAATGAGAGGCAAGAGGTACATGCACAGATGCAGCACGAGACATATTAAACTTTCTCAAAACCTTCTCAACATAATAAATCTGATTTAGAACAAGAGTATGTTTGCTCCTGTCCCTAACAATTTTAATCCCAAGTATCCTCTTGGCATCACCAAGATCTTTCATAGCAAAATTCTCACAAAAGCATTTTTGAACAAATATAATAGATTTAAGACAAGGGCTTATAATCAACATGTCATCCACATAGATTAACAAGAACACAGGAACAGAGTTAGTATTCTTGAAATAAAGACAATGATCACAGGCAGATTTCACAAATTTCATAGACTGCATGCACTTGTCAAACCTAATATTCCACTGCCCAGGGGATTGCTTCAGGCCATACAAGGCCTTCCTAAACAGACAGACATGGTCACTCCTCTTGGGATCCACAAAGCCCTCAGGTTGAGTCATGTAAATTTTCTTATCCAATTCACCATGCAAAAATGCAGTGGTGACATCCATTTGTTTCATCTCCCAGTCATGGCGAGCAACCAAAGCCAACATGATTCTAACAGTAGTAAATTTAACTATAGGAGCAAAGATTTCTGCATAATCTACCCCCTCTTTTTGAGTAAACACCTTGGCAACTAACCTAGCCTTATACCTAATGTTGTTACCCGGTTCTTCCTTGACCTTAAACAGCCACTTGCACTCAACTACTGAGCTGGCATCAGGTCTAGGAACAAGGGTCCAAGTCTGGTTCACTCTCAGAGAGTCCATCTCACTTTTCATGGCCTCAAGCCATCTTTGAGACTCTCTGGAACTTATAGCTTCACTAAATGTCTTAGGTTCATTTAGGTTTAGGGACTCAAACACAGTAAAAGCAAAATCAGATATAGCATACGCAGTAAAGGCATAATCAGACAAAGTATCAGATTTTCTCTTAATGGTTCTTCTACCCCTATCCCTAACAAGTTGGTAGTCATGCAAATCAACATTATCATTCTCAGCAGAATCATCAAACACATTGGTTCCACTAGACACAAAATCATTATGCACATGGTCATCATGAGTATTGAACTCCACCTCACTGGGGGTAGCAGTATCACCAGAAGTATTAACATGCACATCAGAAGGGATGACAGGTACAAAAGGAGGAGTGTCATACATAACAGAAGGAATAATAGGCACATAAGGGACCTGAGGCTCCACCTCAATAGGTGTCCTCTCAGGTTCATGCTCAGAAACAGTTTTAAGCAAGCAAGGGAAATCAAACTCATTGAAAATTACATCCCTACTTATAACCACCTTAAAACCAGGCACACTTCTATCCCACAACCTATATCCCTTTACCCCATCAGGATACCCCAAGAAAACACACTTTTTGGATCTAGGATCTAACTTATCAGTTTTCTGATGAGCATAGGCAGCACACCCAAAGACCTTAAGGTTTGACAGGTCAAGAGGCCCATCAGTAAATTTAACTTCAGGGCATTGATCCCCTATGGGAACAGAGGGAGATCTATTTATCATATAGGTGGCAGTGGTAACTGCTTCACCCCAAAACTTCTTAGGTAAACCTGAGGTAGACAACATACTTATAACCTTGTCAAGAAGGGTTCTATTCATCCTTTCAGTCACCCCATTTTGTTGGGGGTGTAGGGCACAGTCTTATGTCTCCAAATGCCTGAAGTGGCACACAGTTGGTCAAACTCATGGTTACAGAACTCTATGCCGTTATCAGTCATAAGGGTCTTAACATTCTGTCCAGTTTGATTTTCTATAAGTAACTTCCAGGCCTTAAGCTTCTCACAAACATCAGACTTATACCGTTTCCACACTTTCCTAGAAAAATCATCAATTAAGGACAAGAAATACCGTTTCCCCCATGTGTGGGAACACCGGCAGGACCCCAAACACCAGCATGCACATATTCAAGCACAGAGGAGCACTTTGTCATATTAGGATAAAGGGATAGAGGGAATTGGACTCTATGTTGTTTACCAAAC